CATTCTGGCTGGACTGCTGAGACAGACCTGCTGGTTCTTTAGGCAGTCCGTGGGACTTTCGGTATTCTTGGCCAACACTGCCGGTCAAACGCATGGATAGCTCATGGGTCTTCCTTATGCGCCGTCCTGCTGTCACATGCACGGGAGGCTTAGGTCAGGCACACCTTCCACCTGACCGTGATAGCCGTGCTTTACAGGACTCAGCGTCTTGTACAGAAGAGAAGCCCAGTGCGATGCATCTTGCGCTCTTTGATTGCTGCTTTCATGAGTGACGCCCAGTAAGACAAAACCCTTGACAACATCAATCTTTTCTCCATCGATCCTGATGTTACCCATCGGTCCAGTTGAGGATGTGGGTCTTCTTTACATTGCCCTGTAGTCCACACTGAAGGCTGCAGTCCTCCTTGATCGCCATCATCAAGGCCTTCAAGACTTCCTTCCTTTCAGCAGGCAGTTTTGTTCTCTGGATAGCTCCGAATCGGATGCTGCACCCTCCTTCGTAGATTCCAGTGGCTCCGTTGGTTTGCTCATCATGCAGGTTGAACACGTACGGTGAGAGGATACAACCCTGGTGCACACTTTTCCTGAATGTTCTTGATTTTCAACCATGCACTATACTATTCCCTTGTTCTGTTCTGCACAGCTGCCTCTGAATCCATAGACAGGTTCCACATGAGCACAATGGAATTCTGCAAGAGGTTAGCGTTAATAAGTTGTCACAAGTCAGGATCAGCAAATAGTACGGATCCAATCAGTAGTCCACAGCACATCTTTCCTCAGCCAATAAGCCAAGTCTCTCTCTGGTCCTCCACCTCTCAGGCACACGGTCCTTTGGCCTCTGCCTCCGTGGATCAGGAAGCCCGCAGGTGGCTCCACCTCGCAGCCCCAGAGTCTCGGCACTCTCCCATGTCTCTGTGCCACAGTGTCTGATGCCTCAGGTCTCGGCCACCTTCACGTCAGAGATCCTAAACACGGGTCCTCCCAAGGTCGTCGTATCTCTCTCTGCCAGAGATGACTGATACACAGACTTTGATGGAGGTGTGGTTTTTATCTTTTAGCAGACCACACCCCCAAGGAAACATAGGGTGTGACCTGGTCCACACCCTTGATTAAACTCAAAATCTCACTGCTTTGAGTTGAGGCGGCCCTTGGGGCACAGAAGAACTGAGTTTCTGAGTCTAACTCTCTACGGGAGTAGAAAGCCTCGTCTTTCCCCCTCAGAGTGGCTGGCGGTTTCAAACGGCTGACTTCTCGGAGGAATGCAGCCAATGCATAACCACTGCATTTAAAAAAAATTATCTTTACAAAATCATTTTATTGGGGGCTATCCAGATAGCAATTGTATCAAGCAGATTTGTACATGTTGCCACCCTTATTTTCTAAACATTTATTTTCTATTTGAGCCCTTGGTATCAGCTCTTCTTTTTTCCCTCCCTCCCCTCCTCCCACCCTACTGACCCCTTGATAAATTATAAATATTTCAATTTTCATATCTTACACCAACCCCCTCCCGTCATCTCCCTCCCCCGACATTTCTGTTGTTCCTCCCAAGGGGGAGGTGGGGGGTGTTATGCATCAGTCATTGCAATGGGTCCGTTCCTCGCCTTCCCCCCTCCTCTCCCTACCCTCCCGGTATTGCTACTTCCGTTCCTGTTCCTGGATTCCAGGTGTCCTGAGCTCTTATTTCTTATCAGTACTGTGCACATGCTCCGGTCTAGCCCGAAAGGAGAAACAGCACTGGGGTCATGATAGTGGGGGTGAGGAAGCCTCAAGGAAACAGAGGAATATTGGAATATCGTGTGTTTCATCAGTGCTATACTGCGCCCTGGTTGGCTCATCCCTTCCTTGTGACCCTTCTGTGAGGGGGTGTTCCATTGTCTAAACGTGGGTTTTGGGTCTCTGCTCTGACCCCCCTTGTTCTGCCAGTACATCTTGATCCCACTCTAATCTTGTCTGTTAGTATAGCTGAGAACGCCCTCCACAATGAGTTTATAGCCACAGAATTATCATGAGAGTCTAGAATTATAATACCTCACACGAGGAATTACGGTTAGAAAGGCCCTATTAACGAACTACATCTCAGGACCCAAACCTGCAAGACCTGCAAGATTTGATCCCATTGTAAAGATGACAGTTACCTTGTTTCTTGTGGGCACCCTGGGGGTGGGGGATTGGGTTTGTAGGATAACAGTGGCCTTTCATCTGTGTTGTGCAGGAACACATCTCCTAAGAGGAGAAAGGACCGGGGCTTATCGAGAAGTCTCAGCCTCTGGGGTCGCCTGAGTCCCTGCGGCAGATTACCCCTGGCTTGTTTCTCTCCCTCAGATATGGCAAGATTGTGTCCACGAAGGCCATCCTGGACAAGACCACCAACAAATGCAAAGGTGAGCGCCCAGCTGTGCCTGCAGCCCTTGGCAGTGAGTGCGCTTGGCCTGTCTCTGCCCTGTCCTGCTGGAAGCGCTGAGGGCCTGCTGCCCGGGAGTGTCGAGAGATCCCTCGGTCCTTGGCTCCGCACGAGAAAGAATTCACGCGGAAGCCTGGTTGGTGATCCCAGTGAGTTTATAGAGAATAGAAGCAGCTTCAGGTCGTACAGTAAATGGAGCACAAGCCAGACAGTCTGCGGGGCTGACGCCCGGCTGTGCTGCACTGTGTGGCAGCCGCTGGGGAAGAGCACCCAGAGCAAAACCTCTGGCTTTTCAGGGTCCCGTTAGGAGATGTGGTCGAAGATACTGGTCAACCCATTGGCTGAATCAAATGGCCAATCCAGGTGTAACGCCCACCTAGGTGTCTCACCCCTTCCTGGTCAGAAGCTGGAACCTCTGAGCATGTGCGATGGACGCCCCAGTCCCTGTGCAACCTACCTCACAGGAGGCAGCATTGAGGTGTCCAGGCCTTAAAAGGCTAGTGCAGTGGTTCTCAACCTTCCTAATGCTGCGACCCTTTCATACAGTTCCTCCTGTTGTGGTGACCCCCAACCATAAAATTATTTTCATTGCTACTTCACTGTAATTTTGCTCTGGTTACAAATCATCATGTAAATATCTGATATGCGGGATGTATTTTCGTTGTTACAAATTGAACATAATTAAGCCACAGTGATTAATCGCAAAACAACATGTAATTATATATTGTGAAATCTGATGGTCTTAAGCAACCCCTGTGAAAGGGGCTTTCGATCCCCTCAAGGGGTCACGACCCACAGGTTGAGAACTCCTGGGCTAGCGGATGTTTAGGTTCTTGGTGACCGGATAGAGCGGGAAATGGTGTTTTGAAGACTCAAGGGTAGAAGATCACATGGCGCATCCTGGTCTTGGGCCCATAATTTGGCCCTCGGGTTCCCAGACTGCAGCGTGGAGATTCCCCAACACCATCAAGTTGATTTGGACTCAGGGCAGCCTGTCCATCCATGTAGGGCATCCGAGGTTGTACATCTTTATGGGAGCAGACAGCCCCCTTTTTCTCCCTTGGAGTGGCTGGTAGGTTGGAATCTCTGACCTTGAAGTTAGCAGTCCAGTACTACAAACTCACTGCCGACCTTCAAGTTAGCAATCCAGTACTCAAATCCAAACGTGCTCTGACTCCTGGCAACCCCGTAGAACAGGGTAGACCTGCTCTTGTGAGTTTCCAAGACTGTAGCTCTTTACGGGAGTAGGGATCCACCCGGCAGGTGGGTGATAGTGTTTCTGGTTAGCAATGCAATGTGCATGCCTCCTGTGAGAAGGCAGGATGTGGTAGGCGTTGTTCTGAGGATGGTTTTATTGAGGTTTCTAGGAGTGAAGGAGGGAAAGAACAGGAGGTTGGCCTAGGGAGGGCGTCTTCTGGCAGGTGGCTGGTTCTCTGCCCAGGAGAGGTTGTGTTGACTACATTCTCAGCTTTTCTGGGGCATGGCTAGAAAAGAAGGGTCTATTTTAGAAGTATAGAAAGAGGCCTGTGTGTTACTGGAAGAGCCTCTTCCCAAAGCATTGCAGTCTAAAAGGGAAGGGAGGGGAGGTGGGCGGAAGAAAGGTAGGGACAGCATCAGGACCTCATTGCCCTCAGCCGTCTTTGCTACAAAAAAAGACCGAATCTCACAGTGTGGGAGGAGTGCGCAGCTGGTCCCTGAAACTGCTTAGGCCTGGTAACTCTGCCTCTGTTTCCCGGAAGCCGTGGGCTCCTGCCTTCCCCACCCACATGCACCCTGGCCGGCCAGCCTCCGATGCACCTTTGCCGTTCCAGGCTATGGCTTCGTGGACTTCGACAGCCCCTCGGCAGCACAGAAGGCTGTCACGGCGCTGAAGGCCAGCGGTGTGCAGGCACAGATGGCGAAGGTAGGGGCACGCACTACCTGTGTCTGGGCCTCCTCCGAGGGTTGGCTAAAGGCCCCAAGTTCCAGCGCTCAGGAGCCACGAAGCTGATGGGCAAGGGCCTTGTGCAGTGCTTCTGAAGACGGTGGCCACAGCGAAGTTGGGCCCGGCCCGGGGTGGGATGGGGGAGACCTGCCGGGAGCTGATGATCTCTCCTCGGAAGCTGTGCGGGAGTTGCTCTGTCAATGCCGGCTTTCTCTTTGCAGCATTATTACAAGCAGGCGACTCCCCTTCCTCCTACAGCTTCTGCATCTTCACCCCTGGCCCCATCTCCCTGGCCAGTGGGGTGACTGGGCCAGGTCTCTGAAGGAGCCTGGGGTGCAGTGCAGAGGGCCAGGCTTGGCACCTCCCAGCTCTGCCCCTGTCCGGTGGGGGGTGCTGGAGAGGGAGCTAATCTCCCACCGGCCTGCAGCCACCCCTCCCATGTGGGCGATTTGAAAAGGTGTCATTCTCCCACCACTTCCGTCCTCCTGGGTGGGAAGGGTCCCCTGCGTCTCCCAGGCCACTGGGTCCCCTGTGTGTCCAGTTGGTAAGGCCGGCCTCCGGCAGGCTGTTCTGGAAGGGCAAACGAAAACGGAAACCGCACCCTAGAGAAAGAAAAGCAGAAGTGGACGGATTGGGGTAGCTAGCACAGAGTGGGGGCTCACGTTCCTGAAAACACAGCCCTGGGAAGCTACTGCCAACCTCTGCACTCAGCCCGCTGGAAGGAGGGACCCCCTGCCCCCAGGGTGACCCAGCAAGCTGCACCAGCTGGCTTTCAGGCAGCCCAGCACGTGGGCCCTTCCCTTCTCTCCCTGCTTCCTGCTCTCCCTCCATTAGGGAGCAGCACACACTCCCACTAGGAGGAGTCTGCTGTGGCCGGAAGAGGGGGAGGGGGGGCCCAGCGGTCCGAGAGGATCCGGCCTCTGGGGCGGCTGCTGGAGGAGCAAGGGGAGTTGCGCGGCTCAGCTCTTAAAGAGACAGTCAAAACGCGCTTGGCCGGCGTCGCGCCAGTCTGCGGATCTTAAAATCAGCTTTGTCTTCCACTACCAGAGTCAGCAGACAGCCCAGGGTCCTGAGGACCGGGCGCTACCCTGGTGGTGAAGGCTGGTCTTGGTGGATGGCACGCCCTTTCCACTCTCTCTCTTCTTGGGGTGCCACGCTGTGGGGGTGTCGGAGATGGGTGGGAAGGGCAAGGGAGGAGGAGGAGGAGACCTTCACACGTTCTCACCTTGTTCCCGCAGCAACAGGAGCAGGACCCCACCAATCTGTACCTCTCCAACCTGCCCCCGTCCATGGACGAGCAAGGACTGGAGGGGATGCTGAAGCCCTTTGGCCAGGTGATCTCCACCCGGATCCTCCGAGACAGCAGTGGGACCAGCAGAGGGGTTGGCTTTGCAAGGTGAGGGGGGCTGTGAGTGGGGAGTGATGGTAGTGAAGAATGTCACCGAAAAATCTGTGCCCCCTCCCAAGTACCCAGAAGTGCCTGCGAGTTCGACGTCCAGTGTATGATAGGTCAAAATACTGAGGAACCCCTCAGTACCCACGACCTTGTCCTCTCTCGCTACTTCCTGCTTCTTTGAGCCCAACCAAGGTAATTCCATATATTTTTACACTTTATATGACGAGGACTTTCTTTCTCTTATCTCATTTACTCTCTATCGCAACCCTGTGAGGGAAATTAAATTTTAATTCTCCATTTCTCCATTCTACAGTTGAGGAACATGAAGTCCCCAGTCTGAGGTAACTTCCCCAAGGTCTCAGGAATAGAGCTCCAATCCTTCTGGCTTCAAGATTCAAAGCCAAGTTCATTGCTGTGAAGTCAATTTAGACTCATAGTGAGCCTGTAGGTCTGGATAGACATGCCCCTGTGGGTTTCCAAGACTGTCAACTCCTTACCAGAGTAGAAAGCCTCATCTTTCTCCCTCGGAGAGGCTGGTGGTTTCCAACGGTTGCTCTTGTGGTTGGCTGCCCAATGCGTAACTACTGTGCTACCGGGGCTTCCAGATGAGTGGGATGAAATGGAAAGCTGGATCTGCCTTTTCAAATGTTAGGTTTCCTAAGTTCTGTAACCAACACTGCCATAACTGGCTATGTGATCCCAGACCTGTGTGCGCTCTGCTTTACCCTGTGAAGTGGAGAAGCTTCATATGGATGAGTGAACTGGAGTCCTCCAGGGTGCCCGCCGCCCGCTCTCAGGGGATGGTGTCGGGCTTCAGCTCCCTAAGCTCATGTTTGAAGTGGTTCTGCTTTCAAGATTTTTTTTTTTTTAAAGCATCCTGTTGTTTTTTAAAACTCTTTGGAGAGCTTAGAACCACAGTCTCAGGGGACATCTGGGTCCCCGGGCATAACATGGTCTGTGAAGACCGTGTTGCACCTTCTACTTTGGCAAATTTGAGATCTTAAAAGCTTGCAAGCAGCCACCGATGCAACATTCCGTGCCTCCCTGTGTGGAGCAAAGAAGAGGGAAGAAGCCCACAGAGTGGAGGAACCAATCGGTCCAAAGCGTCCGTGGATGATGTGAACCGAAGCCTTCACTCCCTGAGACCCCAAGAACTAGATGGTGCCTGCCTTCCGTGGCTGACCCCTCTGAAGGGGATCACAATAGGAGGGCCTGGGCAGAGCCGAGAGGAGGAGGAATGTAGAACAAACTCTAAAGGATAGCAAAGACCAGACTTGCTAGCCTGATAGAGGCTGGAGGAGGCCCCCACACTGTGGCCCTCGGACACTCTTCATGCCTAGAACTGAACCTCCCTTCCAAGGAGCACTTTCAGGCTGTCAAGGGAACAAGAGCATCAGGGAGGGATGTGCTCCTCACCACACTCAGCCCCTCTGAGACCCACAGCGCAGCAGCATTCGCCCCAAACCAAAGCTCCAAAGGCAGGAAGGGAAGGATGCAGGGAAACAGAACCAGAACGCGGAGAAAGTAGGAAGAGGCAGGCTACAAGGACGAGTCAAAGGTATTGCTGTCAGGATTTCAGTTCAAACATGTATAGGTTTATTCCAAACAAAACGTGTTCCGACGTGGCTCTGGGATCGGTGGATGTGGCTCAGGATGCCTGGGGCAGAGTTTGAGGTGTGGCTCAGGATGCCTGGGGCAGAGTTTGAGGTGTGACTTGGGATGCCTGGGGCAGAGTTTGAGACCTGTGGCTTTAAAGACTTTTCAAAAAAATATGCAATGTCTTGTATGCTCCTACATCAATATTCAAAAATATTTTCCCCACACATTTATATGCTTGCAAGTGGTTTAATTTCCAGTGAATAGTGACATGTAAAAGGGAAACGGTCACATCATTTTAAAATGCATCCAGATGCAATCCAAACATCACAGTTAAAAAAAATCACAGGAGTTTAGTGCACAAAACTATCCATTAAAACAAGGACACGGGCAATTTCGTTTTTAACACTCATAAATCTTAACATTCTTACAGCATTTTCCCTCCTTTTTGATTTTATATTTCTCCTCCACTTTCTTACAGAATTGTATTTTAGGGTAAAAGATGTTTGCAGTTGAAAGTCTTTTATGCATTACATCCTGTTGTTCACTTCTGCAACAAAGTTAACTTTTCTCTGCGGATAAGTTAACTTTTTTCTGGTGACTACAGGTACTAATTTTTGACCAAGTCGTGGAAAATTTATCTTTAAAACTATTAGTTTGTAGCTGCCCAAAACAATCGAAATATATTAGAACGTGGATACAAAATTATTTCCCAGAGAGTACATTTTCTCAGAAATGCTTTTCCTGTGAGGGAGATGAGTTTTGTTTTGTTTATGTTGTAATAAGGTCACGGGGCCCTCCATGACTGTTGCTTATTGCTTGAAGCAGACAAGGCTTCCTCAGCAGGTGTGCTTGGGTCTTGTTTTCCTGCTGAGAAACCACCTGTGCACTTAAATAAGGAGAGGGGAAGAGAACTCATCTGTGAAAGCTGGAATTCTTTGAATTCCTTCCGAATGAGAACGGAGGTGCTCTAGCCTAGAAATTGATTTTTAACGGGTCACTTGGCAGCTTGCTGAAGCCCTTCAACTTTGTTGGGAGCCGAGAATTAGAAGGATTGGGGGTTCGGTCATCAGTGCCCCCTGCTGAGCCCCGGGCTGGGCAAGAAGTCCTGGACACTGGCAATCATAAGCTCTTCCTGAGGCAGGTCAGTTTTAGGAACGGTTTTGAAGAAGCAGTTGAGGTTCTGGAGAAATCTCTTACAACTCCCCAGAGCTGCTCTCCTTTTGGAAAGGAGACCAGTGATACAGTGGGGACTGCTGCGCTTAGAGAACCGATATAAGGTTTCCCCACACGGCTCCCATCCCGAGGCCTTTTTACAGTGGTCTCCTTGCTAGGAATGGCTCTTCATTTAAATGGCTATGAATTCAGAAAGTAAAGTAAGACTGACTGTTACTGCGCAAGATATGACAAAACAATAATCTATAAATTATCAAGGATTCATGGGGGAGTGGGGAGGGAGGGGAAAAATGAGGAGCTGATGCCAGGGGCTTAAGTGGAGAGCAAATGTTTTGAGAATGACGAGGGCAATGAATGTACAAATGTGCTTTACACAATGGATGTATGGATGGATTGTGATAAGAGTTGTATGAGCCCCTAATAAAACGATTTAAAAAAAAGTAAAGGTTGAAAAGCAAAAAAAAAAAGACTGTTACTACAGGAAGAAGAAAAGATGTAGGACCACCACCAACCCATGGCCATGGAGTTGATTCTGATGCATAGGGACCCTCGGTAGGGGTTTCTCAGGCTGTACATCTTTCCGAAAGCAGCCAGCCTCTTCTCCCCTGGGATAGCGAGTGAGTGGGCTTCAACCACCCACCTTGAGGTTGGGGTCTCATGCTTGACAGGCCTTTATCATTTTCCAAACACATTTGTGACTGTACCTCCTTCTGTCATTACCGCCCCACCTGGTAAGGTGGCGTATCATTATCAGCAAAGGTGAAATAAGAAATGGGTCCAAGGGTTTTGTGAGTGGCTCGGCTCAGAGTTCTTCGTCCTCCGCCCGCAGCGCCTTCTCCTCACAAGAGGCTGCCACTCCGCAGTTCCTGCCGCTCTCCTGTTCTCTCTCTCCCGCCCTCTGGGCCAGAACCTTCTCCCCATGACTTCTTCCTCCCGCAGAGTCACGAAGCCCCAGGGATAGTAGCTCAGCAGACCTTGATCAACGTAACCAGAAACAAGCCAGAGATACTGGCAAGTTCTTCGCTTGTGTCCTTTTGTCAGAGAAAGGGAGTCGTTTTCATAAGGAATTTTATAGTAATAATAATAATAATAAAAGTAGTTATGAATTGTTACAATATCTGTAAGAGGTCTCCATAGAATGATTTTTAAGACAGCACGGCCACAGCCACTCTTTACTGTCCTTTTACAGACGTACCAGGCACCAGGCCAGGCCCCGCCACCAGAATCTTCCTGGGGTATTCCTTATTCCAAAGCCCTCCGTTATTCCTTCGGGAACCCCTCCAGGCACCAGCGGACAGACCTTTAGAAACCGGAGGTGCCTCTTGAATTTACGTTGCAGGAACTCTAGCGCTGGAGCATTGGGGGGCTGGGAAGTTGGCGCGAGAGCGCAGCTCCTGGCCAAGCCGCAGCCTAACCCCTCTTGTGCTCCGTAGGATGGAGTCCACAGAGAAGTGCGAAGCCATCATCACCCACTTTAATGGAAAATACATTAAGACACCCCCCGGAGTGCCAGGTGAGGCATCTGGGATCAGGCTGAAAGGGCTGCAGGTTGCTACTTCCAGGGAAGGTTCTGGAGGAATCGTGCGTGCATGTGAGGAGGCCAAGTGAGTGGGAGATGTCAGCTCTCTGTCTTCTTTCTCTCGGCAGCCCCGTCCGATCCTCTGCTCTGCAAGTTTGCCGACGGTGGGCCAAAGAAACGACAGAACCACGGGAAATTTGTGCAGCATGGACGAGCCTGGCCCAGGAATGGAGACTTGGTAAGAGGACCCGGAGGAGGCAGGAGCGTGAAAGGCTGATAGCGGAAATGCAAATGACCCTGGCCTGACTTCTTTGGGGAGCCGAGGGGGGCAAACTCCAAAGCTAGCTGAGGGATGCCCACAGCATGGTGTACTCTTCTGGAGGTGGGGCGGGGCTTTGTGGACCTTTTCTGCACAGTGGTAAGAACTGGAGACCAGCTCTGTGGGCCTTGCACGACCCCAACGCTGTGCTCTTTCTTTCTAGAGTGGTATGGCCTTGACCTATGACCCCACCACAGCTCTTCAGAATGGGTAAGTGTGTTTCTCCATCAAGCCACAGCCTGTGCCCAGGCTCTTGGGTATTTTTATCTTTATCTAATTTTCGGATCGTGAAAATAAAGAGCAAAAAACGTGCTCCCCTTCCACAATTTCAGGACAGAAATAGGGGTGACGCTGGTGGCGTGGCATTGTCCGCACGGTGTCCACCTTCCTGCGGTTTCTGTCCTGCCTGCTCCTCCACCTTTCTAGTCGCCCTGGGTCATCTGGTCTTCTGTCGGTTTCTTAAAAAATAAAATACTTGAGTATTTAGTAATATGCTCAAGGGTACCAATTTAGGGCGTTTAAAGGTGATTTCAGAGGTGGAGGACCATCTTTTTATGCAAACAATGATTGTGTTTTATCCTTTTGCTCATTGTAACCCCCCAGCACCCCCACCCCGTGCATTATTTCCCTAAGTGCCTTCACCAATCTTTTTACATGTTGATGCGTTTTTCTTTTTTCCGGAATGCCCCATGCGTTGAATGTTCACCCTTCACCTTGGTGCCCTTGGATGTGGGTTGGTTCTCATCAGGGGGCTCTCGCCAGCGTGCCCTTGACTTTCTAAAGCAGCCCTCTCCTGGCCAAATTTCCTCCACTATAGGAAGAAATCTTTTTTTTTTCTGCCTTGGAAACAGCTCCCTCTAGGGCAGCTGGCCCCAGCCCCAAAGGGTGGTATGCTGTGCTCCCTGGGCCAGAAATGGCACTCCGTTTACATTCTGATTCTGGCTCCTGCTCCACTGGCCCATCGCCGCACTGTGGCAGCTTGAGCCCCCACTCCCGTGGCTGTGTGGGGCAGGTGAGCCGGCAAGCATCAAGAGGCTCAGTTCTCCTTCGCTGTGACTCCAGGTCTCCCCGGTTAGTGAGAGCCTCCCTTTGCACAGTCCTGCCGCCCCGACTTCCTGTAGGGCAGGTTCCAGGCCCCCAGCCAGCGTGGACCAGCCCCTGCTCTGGCTCTCCAGCTTTATACACTGTGCACCACCCTGCCCTCCACCCATCCGGTCTGGGTGCACCTGGGTGCAGGCTGGCTACAAGGAACCCCACTGCCTCAGACTGGCCAGAAGCAAAACCAGATTCAGTTGTTGGTTGTCCAGTTCCTGGGATATTCCCAAACTTGAGCTGTGACGCCTTGATCGATCCTGGCTTATAGCTTTATTGTACAACTATGATCAACAAAAACATTTTCAGGCTCTTTGAATGAGAGGGAATGAGGCAGAGCATCACTACGGGAAATACCACAAGACACGAGTGGTGACTGCATGGGGTTTTTTTAAGACGTTGAAGTTCCATCTACATTTTCCTCCCTTTTTATCAGGATTCAGCTAAAAATGTTGCGTGCTGGTCGGAAGGCACCATCTAGTTTTCCTGGCCTCTAAGTGGAGGAGGCTCATGTAATCCAGTTCCTTCTCTCATCTTGGGTTCCCTCTTTCCTTATCTCTGGTCCAGACATGGAAAGACCATTAATAGATGGTCACTCAAAGCTTTTAAGAGCCCAAGCACTCTCTCCTGGTAGTGTCAGAGCTCTCGGGGGAGAGATCCCTCGGTCCTTGGCTCCGCGCGAGAAAGAATTCACGTGGAAGCCTGGTTGGTGATCCCAGTGAGTTTATAGAGACTAGAAGCAGCTTCAGGTGGTACGATAAATGGAGCACAAGCCAGACAGAGTCCGCGGCCCAGTTGCAGGACCGCAGCCCAAATGGGCTGCATCATGTTGCCACCGCTGGGAAAGAGCGCCCAGCGCCAAACCTCTGGCCTTTTTAGGGGCCCATTGGGAGGCGTGGTCGACAATACTGGTCGACCCCATTGGCTGAATCAAATTCACCTGGCTTAGGTGGGCCAATCCAGGTGTAAGGCCCATCTAGGTGTACCACCGCTTCCTGGCTGGAAGCTTGAACCTCTGAGCATGCGCCGTGGACGCCCCAGTCCCTATGCTAGCTACCTAGCAGTCGTTGAGAACAAAACTTTTAGAACTCTGTTACACCAATTAACCGGATTTTCCCATAAAGCCATAGCCCTGAACCCTTCAATCCAAGAGCCCTACTCCCACGAGGTGACAGATTCGTATCAGCAGCTGTAGCCCACTGCCCCTTTCTTTGGTTGGTGTTCTTGCAAACTGAGTATTTCATCTTGAATTTTAAACGCGCGTTGGAATAACTGGTTGGAAGGAGCTGTGCCTGTCAGTCGTGGCCCCGCCTGTGGTTTCCTGTGATTTCTTACCGATGCAAATTCTTCCGGCCAGGTTTTATGCAAGCCCCTACAACATCACTCCCAACAGGATGCTTGCTCAGTCGGCGCTGTCCCCGTACCTTCCATCTCCTGTGTCTTCGTATCAGGTACGCGCAGGCCGCCCCCGCCCCCACCCCAATGGTGCCTGAGGAGAAGAAATAGAAAGTTGGAAGCTACCGAGTGATTTTTTTCTTTCTTTTAACACATGACACTCAAGTGGTGCGGCTATTCCCACGACGTCCTACCCCTCCTGTGCCGGCCACCCACGACGTCCTTCTCGGCCTTGTCCGGCCACCCCCTCCCCATTAACATATAAGGGCTTTCAAAAGGTTGATGGAAAATGGAGTGAAAATACAATGACACTTTCCCACACGTTCTGAAGCCCCCCTCCCCTGTGAACTCACTGCTCCTTACGTTTTTTTGTCTCAAAGTTCACGTTTCTATTGTTCAATTGGATCCCTCGTAAGCCCACAACCATCAGGTTGTTCCACCTGAGGTGGACCCTTTGTAGAAGGAGATTAAAGAGAGCACAGGGCAGACATTATCTACTAGTAAAGCAAAACCATTGTTTGATTTGCAGACGATGTCAACGGGTACTTTTTGTTCAGGGCTTAAAGATTAATTTCAGTGGAATATTTTTAGCAGCTCATCAGTCCCCCTGACTGTAGACATTCTGGATTCTCTGTACATTTTTAATTCTGTTTTACCAACCTCCCCCCACACACAGACATTCCAACCCCACTCTCCTCCCTGCCCAACTTTGATCAGGATTCTTCTAGGGAATCTTTAATCAAAATGTTCAGTAATGATAGCTAGACATCATACTGTTCTTCTGGCAAAAACCCATTTCTAGATATGGTGACTCACTGAGGTTCCGAGGACATGAGTCGTTAGAGGATTCGATTTAATAGGACCACCTTGATCATATAATAAATACCAGCATTTACTTCTCTTGTCTGTTCCCAATGATCTTTGTGTCTGTTCCTATTCCAATAATACATTGACCTGGTCACAGTGGCCTTATACTATGCTTTAATATCTCTTAAGATAAACCTTTATCACTCTTTCACGTTTGCTATTCTGGAGCGTCTGTTTCTCTTGTAAAGTTTAAAATTACAATAAGGTTCTCCCGCTCTCATATATATAAATTTATTTAAGAGAATTGGCTTTTTAAAAACTACTATCTTTTCACTCATGTTATGGAATTTACATGTTTTCAAATTTAATTTTATGTGCTTCAATAAAATTTCAGTTGGCTTTCTTTCTGTGCTTGTTAAATATATTCCTAAGTGCTTCATTATTTTTATAAGCAAATCTGGTTGTTTATTTCTAGACTGAAAGAAAATGATTGATTTATGTTTGTCCATCTTGCACACAAGGAACTCAAGTGGCTTAGTGGCTTATGCACTCACTGGCTTGCCAGCAAAGCCAACGGTTCAAGACCAGCGGCCACTCCAAGGGAGAAAGATGAAGTGTCTGTTCTAGTTTCAGAAACCCAACAGGGGAATTCTACTCCGTCTTATAAGGGTCTGTGAGTCAAAATGGATTCACTGGCAATAGATTGGGTGTTTGCATTGGCTTATCTTGTAGACATGGAACTTAACAAGTCCTCTTATTACTACTGCACTTTCTTCAGTCGCTTAGCTTTTCCAGGCAAATTTATTTTTATGGCCAAATAATGTCCCATTCCATAACTGTGCCCCGTTTATTTATTATCAGCCAAAGACATGTGTGGTTGTGCTTTTATCTTTTCTTTTCCAATTTATACCAATTATGTTCTTACCTTATTGTATTTATTTGACCTTGTAATTTGGTAACTGATTGTAATTGTAAGTTTTAATATATCTCTGTTTAGGTTAATACTGTTATTTACTTTTTACTAATAGCCTGCAATGTGTCTTTCTAGTTTTTTTTTTTAGGGAAAAGAAAGGCTTTATTTAGACAAACAGATGCTAGTCATTTCTGTGTTTCTGGACATCAACCAAGAGTTGGTTCTGGTTAAAGGTAGCTGTCCTTCCTCTCTTCTCCAAGAACTCCTTTCTGAGACTTTTTCAAACAAATAAGGACTGAAATTCATTAAATGCCTTTCAGCATCTAATATTTTGCTTTCTTTTCTCTCCTAAAATTTTGACTTTTGTTTATAGTGTTTTTGATCATAACCATTCTTTAGATTTTTGGAGTAAACTCTACTGGGTCATTTTGAATCATTCCTAGCTTTTTAAAACTAGAGATGCGGGGAGGGAGGGGACTAAACTGAGGAGCTGATACCAAGGGCTCAAGTAGAAAGCAGATGCTTTGAGAACGATGATGGCAACAAATGTACTAATGTGCTTGACACGATGGATGGATGGGTTGTGATAAGAGTTGTACGAGCCCCAATAAAATGATTAAAAAGCAAAAAGAAAGAAAATGAAAAGAACATACTTCACTCTGAACCGAAAAAAAAAAGAGAGAGAAAAGTCACCTTCTTAAGTTTTAGTCAAGTAAGTTTTAGTCCATAACTACCGCCCCCCCTATCAAATTCCAGAACAGGCAACCATCCCCAAAGAAACCCTGTATCCCGTGGCAACCAGTCTCTCCCTCCTTCCCCAGAGCCGGTGGCACCCACTAATCAATCCCTTCCCAGCCTGTCTGGATTGGCTGTTTTGGATACAGTGACGTCATGCACTGTGCAGTCTTCCGTGGCGGACTTGACTTTAGCATGTTTTAAAGCTTACCCCTGCCGGCACGTGTGTTTCGTTCACTTCTCGTGGGCTGGGCGTCCCCCGTCCATTTTCTCTCTCTCTGCGTCAGTCGATGAGCATCTGGGTGGTCCCTACCTTGGGGCTGTTGTGAGGAACGCAGCCGCGAGTGAGTTCCTGTGTGTAGTTCCTGTGTTGGGGCTGTTGTGAGGAACGCAGCTGCGAGTGAGTTCCTGTGTGTAGTTCACGTGTAGGCTTTTGTGCAGACAGACCTTGTCAGTTCTCTTGCGCATACACCGAGGAGCAGGGTTGCTGGGTCACGTGGGAACTCTCTTTGACTCTCTAAAACCAAAAACCCAGACTCCCTGCCACGGAGTCGGTCAGTGCTGACGCACTGTGACCCCTGGGGGGGCGGGGTTCTGAGACTGTCAGTGTTCACAGGAGTAGAAAGCCCGGTCTTTCTCCCTCTGGCTGCTGCTGGTGTCAAACTGCCGACCTTGTGGGCCCCTGCCAAACTCGTAACCCCTGTGGCCACCAGCGCACCAAGGAACTACCAAAGTGGCCGCTCCATTTTGCAATGCCATTCATGGTGCGGGAGGTCCTGAATATGTCCACACCACTTGTCATCCATCTTTTCCTTTCTTTCTCTTGCCTCTCTTGCCTAGTGTTCGAGGTGGTGTGAAGCGGTCTCTCACTTGGGTTGTGATTTGCACCCCCCTCGTGACTAACAGTGTTGAACCGCCTTCCCGTGTGTATTGACCGGCAATTGCATATATTTGAGAAATGTCTATTCAAATCCTTTGCCCAGTTTCCTAATAGGATTATTTAAGTGAGTTGTAGAGTGCCTAAGTTTTTTTTAGAATTGTTTTAAAGCGGCCATTTATTTATTCTGAATGTTTCTTTTCCAAATGGGGCAACTCAGACTTCGGGTGGGGTGGGGCGGGTTTCCTGAACTGTATCCAATCTTTGGGCTTACCGTTTGCGTTTGTTTTTGCTTGCATTAGAGGTTGACTCAGACTTCTCCTCTACAAGTACCTAACGCGTCTTGGATGCACCAGCAGTCGTACCTCATGCAGCCTTCAGTGAGTGTTTGCAGAGCACAAAAGCCAGAGGCAATCACACTTAAAGGGAAACGATGGGATTTGATGACAGGAGATGTGGGTGTGAGTTTTGGTCCAGTCCCTGTGCAACCCAGCTGCATGGCCTGAAGACCTGACCTGTGACTTTCTTATTTTTAGACCAGCGTCCCTCCAGCCTGAGGGGCCAAGTGCTTAGTCTGAGCAGGGCTGGGTTGCAGCTCACCTATCGGGTCTGTCCCAGGATTTGTAAATATCCGTCTTCGGGGTCCTGGTAACCAGTAACCAGTCCCTGCTTTCAGCAGCTCCACAGGCCAGCTAACCCTACCCTTTGTCTCTGCCTCAAGGGTTCAGTTCTGACAGCAGGCGTGGATCACCCCCTTTCTCTGCCCCCTGCCTCCATGATGGGACCTCTTACCCAGCAGCTGGGCCACCTCTCCCTCAACAGCCCAGGCACGGTAAGGCAGGAGACTTGTCAGCCTCTAAGCCCCGCAGAAGGAGGACGGACGCTTGTGCGTGGTGATGGGGATCATTGCAGTGCTGGGGCGGGCGCGCCGGGGAGCTAGACTCACAAAAGGATAACTCACGACGGAATCCTGGGCCACAGCCTAGTTTATCCAGGAGGTGACATATTTCCTAGAAACTCTTATCAAAATTGTAAGAACAAGAATAAATGGAGCAGATCATGATTTGGGGCTTGAGTCTTCCGGGAGGGGGAAAACAGTCAGGAGAGAGAAAGAGGGTCAGTCAAGCTGGTCGGTGTCTTAGACGAGAGAGAGAGAGAGAGAGAGAGAGAGAGAGAGAGAGAGCGAGCCAGAGCCAGAGCCAGAACCCACTTCTTCTAAGACATCCCAGAGTGCTTTTAAAGAGCCAATACCTGACCAATTAAATCTGGATCGACCAATTGAATCATCAGGATCTCGGAGGGCATTAGACAGCCATCAGGCTTTTTGTTTTCTTTCAAAGCTCCCAGCCCTCACTGCTCTGAGCCTGTTGGTGTTTCTCCTTGTAGTACCTGCCGACGGCTGCCGCTATGCAAGGCGGGTACATCTCCCAGTACACCCCTGTGCCTTCGTCCAGTGTCTCCGTGGAGGTAAGCGCCTGCTCTCTCTCATCCCTTTGGATTGCAGCTAGGAAGAGGCGTAGGTCTGTCCCCACCACGAAGCCAAGCGTCCTCTCACAACCAGCTGACTGTTCACACGGAGCTGGGAGCTGGGGGGGGTGTCCAGAGGTAGAAGGAGAGACAGGTCTGTGCCCCGAAGGAGGCCCGCCCTCCCTGTTTGCCCGCAGGGCACAGACCTGTTTGTTTTAGGTCAGCGGTTTTCAACCTGTGGGTCGAGACCCCTTTGGGGGTCGAACGACCCTTTCACAGGGCCTGCCCGATTCATCACAGTAGCAAAATGACAGTGATGAAGTAGCAATGAAAATAATGTTATGGTTGGGGGTCACCACCATTGAGGACCTGTATGAAAGGGTGGTGGCGTGAGGAAGGTGGGGAACCACTGTGTTAGGACGATGAGAGGCTACTCGAGGTGTTGGGGGTGTTGGGGGTGAAGTAGGGGCCGGAGAGGTTGGGGAGGACACTCAATTGTTGTGGGAGGAGGTGCGGGAAGGAAGCTCTCTCTCTCTCTCTCTCACTTTCTCGGGGTCACTGTCTGTCCTGCTTTGGCTGTGGTGCAGGAGAGCAGCGGGCAGCAGGCGCAGGTGACGGTGGACACGCCCTCAGACCACGGCCTCTACTCTTTCCAGTTCACCAAGTAACGCTGGGTAAGAAGGACACACCGACGGTTCTCCTGTTTGTCACTCTCTCCCTGACCCTCTGGCCCCGTGGGAGCCGTGCCCTCTTGGCTGACTAGACACGAGTGCTTGCGATGGTGATTTTCTCAGACTCCAGAAGGTTCACCAGGAATACAGACCACGGCCCCCAACTAATGCTTAACCATCACTTTTCCCAAGAAAGGCCTGGGCCTGAAGGAAAAATCCAAAACATCTTTATCTATGCGCCTGCCCCTTGTGACACCCAAGAAACTTTCCTTCCTTCCTTTTGGCAAGGAAAGTTTTCAGTTTTGTTCTGTTTTCTCTCATTTTTAACCGCCATATACGCTTCCCCTAGCCCAGAGCAGCGTGGTGGGTGGTGGCTGAAACCTCTGCCCGGCCATCGGAACAGCATGTTTTAATGTATGAGGCGTCCCTGGGGGGCTTTAGAAGCAATGACCTGTCTTTTAAGAAGAAACCAGGAAGGTGTGATACTAGAACCCTGGAGAAGGGGTGCTGTGTGCCCCTGGGACTGCGCTCAGGCTGATGGCCCTTGCTCTGTGTGTCTGCCTGAGAAAGTTACCGGCACGTAGCAGGTGACCTGGAAGGCGCGGGGCTCCCGGCCGGGTTCATGCCCCTTCTCCCCTCTCATCCACATTGTTGTGTTTCTCTTCCATACAGCAGAGCCTGCCTATTTTGCCTTTTGACAATTTTTCATTTTGTGGATTTATATTTTCTTTTTCTTTTTTGAAATACATTTCCTACGGACTTTTGGAGGCTGGGCAAGGCACAAAGTGGAACAGTGCATGGGCCAGGAGCGTGGCTTGGCCTTCTCCGGGAGAGACACGAGCCTTTGGCCTCAGGAAGCGGAAAACCACCGAGGCCCCTGAGAGAGACAATCCCACAGCCTGGGGAAGCCAGCCCTACCTTTGAGCCAAATTCGGATGAAGACTAGGCCTCCCCCGAGAATGGACTGCTGGTGACTTCAGCTGTAGCTCTTCAGGAGGACTTGCCTTTCTGCCGCCTGGAGGCTCGCTCTTGCTCCTGTCCTGGTTCCCACAGCCGCTCTCTTCCCCACTCCCCATGGCCCTACCCAGAGCCGGTGCAGCTGTGACCTGGCTGAAGCCAGGTGGCGGGGCTGTGGGAGCAGCACTTTCCCCTGGAGACCAGTGAGTCTCGGCTGGAGGGAACAGAGCCCCTCCAAGGACATTTGGCCACATCTGGAGACTTTTTGCTTGTTATGCCTTCGGGGTAACCCCCGCATCTCGGGAGCAGAGACCAGAGATATTGCTCACATTCTCAGTCAGCGTGGCGGCGGCCACAACACAGAATGAGCTGCCCACGTCAGCCTCGCCAAGGTTGAGAAACCCTGATAGAGACAATGTGGTCCCTACCCCGTACATGGTAAACCGCCACCCCTGGACACACAGTGCCTTTTGACACATGCAGTTCGCTGGGACAGAACGGGGTCCTTGAGTTCTCCCTTGGATTTGACCGTTGGCACCTCTGCGCCTAAGAGCTTTTGTCCTTGCTGTGTGTGCCGGTGTCACCTGGGGCATGTGGTGTGTGTGTGCCGTGCAGAGATGGGAAAGGACAAAGCTCTCTCTCACTGTCCAGTGCGACCGGCCTTGCCCTGGTTTTGTTTGGGCTCCTTTCCAGGGGAGAAATCATTTTCCTTCTATGGAAGGATAACAGGGAGACAGGCTGGAAAAGGACAATAAATTCCATTCCATGGTCAGGAGTCTCCGGGGGAAAAAACCTCCATCTTGTTCCCAGGCCAGTCTCCTCTTGTGAGACCAGACTCCATGCACATGGAGACAGATGGTAGAAGGCCTTTGTCCTGCTTTTAGAACATACACGCTTGGACCTGTCTTCTCCCAGGTGCCCCCTCATCCACTCAAATGGGGTTGCTGCCCTCTTTCACGTCAAGGAAGAAGCCTTGACAGAGCAGTTGTTAGCACTTGACCGCTAACCTTCAAGGTCAGCAGTTTGAATCTATCAGCTGTTCCTGGGAGAAAGATGTGACACCCTTGCCGCCATGAAGATTTACAGCCTTGGAAACCCTGTGAGGCAGTTCAAATCTGAGTCAGAACTGACATCGCGGCCACAAGTTGGGTTTAGTCACCACTAGCCGTCAGGACAGGCAGCAGAGGAACCCGGAGAAGAGGTGGCCGTTAGGCCCAAGGGAGGTGGCACAAGTGGGAGAGCTGCAGAGCTACACCCACCCCAGCATTGAGTCCCAAAGCTCCTCCCCCCAGACGGATCCTTTGTGCATCCTGCGGGAAGTCAGGGCCGTGGTTAGGACAAAATGTAAAAGACAGAAAGCCACTATTAAGTGTCCCATGGGTGCTTCCAACCTCAGCAAGGGCTCATCCAATGCAAAAAAACAAGCCCGGTAACAGAAGGCTTTGGTTGGGAAGACGGCTCTGGCCCTCAGTCAAGAAAAGCACACCATAGCTACTTTCTTGTGAGTGGCCTTTAAGACAGAGAACGAATTCAGAATCCCGTTCATTTGTGAGACTGGGGGAGCCTGCTTTGCTGGCTTTAGGGCAGTGCGGACTTTGTGTATATAGACACTCCTGTTGTTACTGCAGCCCCTCTTTGCCTGCTGCACAGACCTCCCGTATCTGCCTACGTTCCCTGTATTTAAAAAAAAAAAAAAAATCCTTAAAATGGCCATGATCTTTTACAAGTTACTATTTGTGTGTTTCTCTCCTGTGGATCTTGTTGGTTGGATCCCACTGTCTGGCTTGGGCCTATGAAGTGATGGGGAACCTGGTTATTTCTGTAGTGAGTGGCTAAACAGCACCGAAGAATCTCTTGGTGCTTTGAGGTTACACTCATATTTCCCAGAAAGACGAGACCCTCGATACCTGTAGTCCCAGTCTTGGACACTCATAGGAGCCCTTTTACCTGGTCCTGTAGGGTCGCTTAGGAGTCAGCACCGATTCGATAGCAGAGTTTGGGTTTGTAGTAATTAATTTCTAACAGATTGAAGAGAGGCGGGAGAAGGAACGAGGGACACTTTAACCATGATGTTGCCTATTGGTGGGGATGGTGGCAGGGGAAGAGAACTCCAAAATTGTAAGGGAGCCCATCTTCCAGTTCTCCAGCCTGGGATGGGGTCTTCAAATGATTTCCCTCAGGGCTGTGAGAGTCCATTGTCAGAGTGTCTTTTACCGCGTGTGTCCCCTGAATCCTGTCTTTGTGGAGCCCACTCCTTTCTCCACCCTTCATGTCTTTCAACTTATTTCAGATGCTCCTAACATTCTTAAAACGTGTTGGTGGTTTTCTGCTCTCAGACAAATAGAATATTGCCAACCATCTCCTCAGCTGGTATAACCTTTCCTTACAATGCTGACACTGCCCAGCTCCCCTCGGGGGTTGCTACTGCTCCCCTCAGCTGGGCGAACATTTTGGAGTAGAGGTTTGGGAGGATCATTCCGCATAGGAGTGATTATGGGGAGAGTGTTTTGAATGTTTTAAACCAAAGAATTGGAAGGGCTTCCCAGGCTAGGAAGCCAGGTGGCTCTGGAGAGGAAAAGCTCCTTTCAAGTGATAGGGGTGGTAGGGAGGACACTCCTAGCTCTGAGGGTGAAGACCAGGCTCTCCTACTTAGATTATTCCTGCGTGGGGCCACCTCAGTCCGGTTCCATTCCGCTTCTAGCTGATCCGCGCACTATCGAGTGCCTCCAATGCTCACTTCCGGCTGCTCCTGTTAATCCACTGGGGGCTTTGGCCTACTTGTGGGTTGTATTTTGCCCATGAAGCTGGGCGATGAGGCTTGACGTTGCAGGGATCTCAGACTACTGCTGCTCTCCTCCCTGTGCCCCACCCCAGACAATGGGGGCATCACGCTCAGGAGGGGCCACTGTGCCTTCATATCCCATCGGAGGGCAATAAACTCGGGAGGATGGTGGTCAGGTCTAACTACCTTTCCCCCAGGTTCTCTGAGACCCGGCTGTAGCAGGCTTCAAAGAGGGGGGTTATGATGAAAAGCCAGGCAGTGAGGGCCAGATTCTAAATCTGGCTCCCTGATCCGGTGTTTGCAGCATCCCTTACAAAAACCAACTACTCCGCCCACTCATTTCTATGCCACCCGCAGTGCAGGTCCTTCCCAGCATTAGTGAACACATCTCTGAAGTTCACCCCACCCGCCTCCTTTCCCGGAGGGTCTTCCTTCAGCATCGAAGGCCACTGATGAACTCTAGCCACCTGCTTTGTACTGAATTTTCCTGCCCTTCCCACCGCTGGTCCTATGACTGCCGATGAAAAGGCCGGGTACCTCTCATCTGCTCTCCTGAGTTTTGCCCTGGCTTGTTTTGAATAAACCTTCAGTCTCCAAGTACATCCCCAAACTCTGTCCTTGTTACACATCTACCTCACAATGTCACAGTTCACAAGGGAGCAAGCACCTGGTTTAGGGCCATCTTTGATTCTGTTCTCAGATTAGGAAGCCAGGGGCTTGAGTTCACTATCAAATGAAAAAAATCCTTGGTTATTGTCCATTTCCGTAATGTCTTGGGGATTTTTAGCTCATTGATCCCCCTCTCCAAGAGGTCCTGCTGTGGTAAGCCAGGGGTGTAGAGTGGGTTCTCACTGGTGTGGGGAGTTGCCTGCAGGAACACTGACATCAGAGCAGAGCTTAGAATTTAAGGGGAGGCGGCTTGGCTAGCCATAGAGCTGAGGTCACCAAACACTATCTAGAAGGTGGGAGCGAGCTGGCCAGTTTGATGCAGTTACCACTCGAGTGCCCAGTTCAGACCGTTCAAGATCAAGTGTCCAGGCTGGGGGGTGGTGAGACGAGTTCCGACTCCTCGCTTTTGGCCTTTCGGGGGGTGAATGCTCTCATCACCTAGGGCAGCAAGATGTTTAATTTATACTCGCATTTTGTACATTTCTTTATTCAGAGGTTTCTAGTTTTATACTCTTCCACTATCTATGCCAATGCTACCTTTCCAAATGATTCCTTTTCTGACCCTTGGTTTTCCCATCCTGTCCCTAAAATTCAGTAGTATTACATTTTTTATCTATTTCAACTGTTGTTTTGAAATAAAACACAAAAGTCTGTTTCTTGGTCTTATCCATGGGTGGGAGGTGGGTGTGGTGATGGGCCCATGTCTGCTTCCAATGTGTCACAATGGAACCGGGCACAGAAGTGCCACTGAGCTGGCTCGATTTCTAGGCAGGAGCAACAAGAACCCGTCGCACCCATACTGGCACGGGCTGGCGCTGGGGCTCCTGACCGCTGCGTGCCCAGGGCCCACCACTCTACCAACCCCCGCCTCTCACGCTAACCGGCTCCCCTGGTGCCATGTGTGAGAGCCCGTGTTGACAGGGAGATAAACACACAGTCTTTGAATCTCTATCAAATGTGGTTTTTATTCAACTGACAAGCACTTCTCTACAGCTGCACTTGTGGAACGTCACATGGCAAAAACAGGAGTTTTTTTTCTTTTTTTACTCTAGACATTTTTTTTCCTTTTTCAACCTTATTAAAAATGAGATTGGTCCTAAAAATATAGAAAGAAATAAATTTAAATTCACAAAAAACTGTACATTATCAAAAAAGTCACTAAAACACCACATTTGGTTATATAAAAAGTCAGTCCCTTCAGTTGTAAAAGGAACATGGAAACTTGGTGGTGGTATGTGGTTTCTTCCTGTTCCCAGAACGATGGGGAAGGAGTGAGTTTGTTTTCTTCTTTAAACCTGCCTTATCTACTAAAATACTCTCAATTGTTGAGAGGAAAATCCACCTAGCTCAAGGGGCAGTGAAGAGGACAGAAAAGTGAGAAACGGCCCCTTGGATCAAACCCTACTGACTCCTGTTCCTCAGCCCCTACCTCTTCAAGCTGAGGCCGGGACCTCACCCCACTGTGAGAGCCTGGTCCCTAGGGGGAGGGGGGCACAGAGCAGGACAACTGCCGGTCCCCTCCAGGGAAATCTCCGCCTCTCCTCCAGTAATGCAATTCCTCGAGGCCCTTTCATAGCAGGGAAAACAGCCACGGGAAAGAAGAGGAGCCCCCACCTCCGACAGTTTCAAATAGTTAACACAAAGTTTGTTACAGCGCAGTTATTTAGATAAAATATAAATATTTATGCATAATATAAAGTCAATTCAAATATTCTTCAATTCACCTCTTATTTAAAGAAAAAAAAGATCTCAAATAAAATTAAAAGTTTTGAGGTTTATCTGACAGAAAAGGCGACTTTAGAAAATAGGCTATTGGGGGAGAGGGAACGCAAAGAAATAAGGGGCTGCCCCAGGACCTGCGCTGCCCCCACCCCCACTCAGTGCTGCCACAGTACATGGAATGCTCCCCTCACCTGGAACCCTTTCCGTACACCGTACACCAAGGGAATCTTTCTCGGATGGCTCGGCTCTGCTGGGACCAGTCAGCAGCCACCTCCCCAGTGCAAGTACCCGTAATCTCTGATGGGAGGGACTCTGCTGGGCCGGAATGCAGGGAGCCAAGAGCCCATGGCTATAGCTGGGAGTTAGCAGCTTGCTTCTCACATGTTGGGGGCTTCACCTGGACACAGTCACATGTAGGGCAGTGGTGGACCAAGAACCCCTCCTCCCTACTCTCTTGTGCTCCGGGGTCTCTGCTGCTGGGGAAGGAGTCCTGGGGTAAGAAGTAGGAAAGGAAAACACAGCTAAACCCACAGAAGCTCACAGGGTTACGAACAGATCCAGTTCTACCCTCCTCCCTGCCAGAGCTCAAGACTGACTCTAAGCTACTGAGAGGAAATTCCTGCTGAAAGATTGCACAGTTTGAAGAGGCTGGAACAGAAATGACCAGAAAGAGGAGAGACACAGCTTTGTCCCCAGAGAAACTGTTCCTTGTGGTTTCCCTAAAGACCAAAAAAGTGATGGTAAAATAAGGAGGAAAGTAGGACTAAAAGCGGACACCTGGGGAAACTGAGTGGATCTCATCCAACAATACAGGGCAGGAACAAGCACAGCACTCGCATTCTCACACACACACACACACACACCTCTCTCTGAAACCAGTTGTTGCTACCTGGCCTCCATCTTGGGGGCACGCCCAAACTCAGCAGTAGTTGTCCCTGAGGAGTTCCCAAGAGGGAGGTTTGGGTAATAAAGTGGGAAGTGGGCTGGGAGGCTTGAGATGCCGCCTCCCTGCCTCTCCCAGCCACTGAGTCTCAGAAAAGGCTGGAGACTCAGCATGTGAGAAGCATCAGACATTGTTGGGGGATAAGCTAACAGGCAGGAAGATAGGGACAGAGAAAAAGACAGGGACCACTAAATTTGTTTCCCCCCTATTCTAAAGGGGGGGGGGGGGGAGAGCGAAGGAGAGAGGAACCCGTACACGATAAGTTTTACATTATTGGATGAAGAAAACTCTGAAAGATGGGGAGGGAGAGGGGCAGCAATGAGAGAAAGCAGAAGAGGGACTGAACATGGAAGCAGCATGTCCAGGGCCCGGTGTCCGGCTCGACACACTTGGGAGTTTAAGTCCACTTTACTGGCCGTCACTGCGGGTCCGCGCACAGTACAGAGTGTTTCTCGGTTTCACACATTCACTAGAACTATTGCTATTGTTAAATCGCCCCAGGATGCTGGGGCACATAGAGGGAGGAGGGAGGAAGCTGGGAAGAGGAAGCAAGAACATCTTTCCCCCTCCAAATTTTTAATCAGGAAATAAAACAGAAGGGAAAATCTATTTTTTTCTTATTTTTTTCTTTTTGGCTTTCAGTCCAGAAGGACCTCATCTCTGCCCCTCTTATTTGAGGAACAAGAGGAGGAAGGGGGAGGGCAAGTGGGGGTAAGAGGATGGGGGTGGGGTACGCTGCCAAGGGTCAGGTCAAAAATCACAGCTTATCGGACTCTCGAGTCTGGCCCCAGAGCAGCCTCAGCAGGTAAGAACGGCAGGTTTCCATGTTTTTGAGGAAGGAGCAAATCCCCACCTCCCCCGCCTCACAGATTGGCCTGTTTTCCCTGATAAAACTCCTCCCAGCGGCTCTCAAAGAAGCGGCGCATGATGTGTCCAGCCTTGCCCACTTCAGAGTCATCCTCGTTGAAGGTCTGGCAGTTGTCGAAGATCAGGAGGGCATCAGCTGCAAACTCCTCGGAGCTGGTATACCTGAGCAGTGGGGAAGCCAAGCTGTGAGTGGTGCAGGCGCTCCAGAGGAGAGCGAGGAGGGTTGGCCTGGTTACCTACCCGCCCCGCAGCAGTCGCTCGCGCATGGTGGAGAAATCCATGGGGTTTTTGATGATGCGCCGGTACCCACTCACCAACCGTGGGTTCACAGGCTCCAGGAAAGGCCACGCTGCATCATGGGACTCCATCTCCATGAGGATAATCCTACCAGAAAGATGGTGATGACCGGACCACAGAGCGAATGCAAGACTCCTCCCCCCTCACACTTTACCCAACTCACTCGCAAAATGTGAGATCGCTGTGGTGGTTCCGCATGGACAGTCGCCGCCGCTTGGAGATGGACAGGCCCTCCTCTGAATACCGAGGGGCAGCGAGGCCTTCTGGGCCCCGTGACGGCACTCGGCGGCGACGGCCATCACCCTCCCCCAAGTCCAACATGCAGCCACTTTTCCGTTTCTGGCCTCGCTTTGGGAAACCAGGCTGCTGAGTGAATTCTCCCTCTGCCTGCTGAGAAAGGGAAAAGGGGGGATGAGCCACAGCACAAGCCAGACTGCTGCCTTTCAGGGGATCAGAACCCCTCCTGCCCACTTTATAGAGGAAGCAATTAAGACTACAGCATTTAAATGGCTTGCCCAAAGAAGACCCAGAACCCAGGACTCCCAACACCTGGTCTGGAGCACTTTCTCGGAGAAGGGACATTGATTAGCCGGATGAGTGAGAGATGAAATGAAGAAGCAAGGGCTCCATTTTCTGCTTGGGAGAGGACAGAAGAGGGCCGAAGCCTCACCTGGGTCAGACAGACAGTACAGAACCAGTCTCCTTCTGGGACAGCCTCCATCTTGGGCCGATGGCAGTAAATGTGGCAGCCACGGTCACAGCCATCACAAAGCAGAAGAAACTCATCGTTGTCACCCTTCCGGCAGACTAGACAGGTCTGGACCAAGATGTGAGGAGGGTCAGTGAGACCTCAAGCCTCTGGCTGCTAGTGACTCCACCCACCCAGGGTGGCTGGCCCCTCATCAGCCTTCCCAAGGCTTTCTTTGCCCCCTTACCACTTTGTTGACCGATTTCTCCCAGGCAATGGACTTTTCCAGCTGACCCAAGCACAAACACACCTGGGCTGCACTCCGGCACCGCTCAAGGGTCTGGCGCCAGGCACGGATGCGAGGTGTAATCTCATATGATCTGGAGAATAAAAATGGAGATCTTTGGTTGAGGAGCAGAATCCAGTAAAGAAGTTATCCCTTCCCTCCAAGACAAAGAGAAACAGAGGGGCGGGGGCAGCAGCACAGATCACTCACATCTCTGTGGCGGTGCACTGGGGAGCACCATTGGGTGTACTGAGCAGGGCCTTCTCCAGCACCACCTCGTGGGCTGGCCACAGGGGCTCCCGGAGGTACCGCCGCTCCACATTCTGCTCCAGGGTAGCCAATCGCATCACAGCCAGATCCAGAGGGTTGGTAGTTTTCCGCTGTGGTGCCAAGCCTTCCCTGGCCCGCCCTCGCCAGGTGATGTCCTCCTGGGAGTCGGTCAGATGCTCGGAGTAGGCCAAGTCTTCACGGGTAGAGTCTGGGCTGGGACAGGACCAGCCCTGCAAGTGGCAAGGAGGAATAAAATCCCTCATTGGAAAGGAGAAAATTTTGAAAGAAATGTCACCCATTTAAGATTCCGGTAGATCGCTTATTAAAGGCAACGATAGATAAACCTGCTAGAGCCCAGGACTCCCCAAGCATACCCGTATCTGCAGATCAGAAAGGATAACCCGCTGTTCCAGCTCCTCAACCCACTGAAGCACAGCCAAGTCCGTCTCATATGTCTTCTCTCTGGAGGACCAGCTCAGCAGCTCTTCTTCAAAGGCAGGTAGCTGACTGGGCTCAAAGATGGGGTCTGGGAAGGTAGTAGGCAAAGAAAAAGGCTCATCAGGCAACAGCTCCACAGTTACATAGCAACAGCTCCACAGTTACCTTGGGGTAAAGGTATCATCTTACCAGCTGAGGGCCGTAGACAAACTTCCTGCAAGAAGTCCCTGTGCTTGCTAAGGTGTTTGTGAAGTGCTTTCTCCCGGATGCCTCGGAGGTGCAGAGCCTTGAGGGTGGCATCCAGCGTCTCTAGATCTCGGATCCACCACCAGCCAGAGTGCATCTCTATAAGAGCGTGTGTGAAATAGTTTTTTTTGTGTGTGTGAGTGTATGTGTATGTATCCAGCCCACACTGGATACCACTCCTATTTACACTCTTGCCCTATTCCACTCCAGTCACTCACCAGGGGGCACAGGCTGGGCTGTCAGCTGGGTGAGGTAACGCTGCTCCATCTGTTTGAAGAACTTACTGGGTGGTCTGCCTCTCCGTTTTGGCTGACCCAAGCCTGTGAGACTCTGTAGCATTTCTCCAGGATCTCCTGCTCGCCTCTTGGGGACTGCCACAGGGAAGGGGGTAGAACAAAACTGCAGTGGAGAACGGGAATTGGCAGCACTGGGTCTAATCACCTACAAATGAGATGAGACATAAGGGGATGAGGGTATTTCATGTTTCTAGGACCCTAACAGCCCCACTCCCTTCCCCCAACTTCAGGTAAGAGACCACAACCAGGTAATGGGTCTGTTGTAAGATGAAGTTCAAGTGCATCATTTTGGCTACTTACTGGCTTGGAGGTGACAGGAAGCTGAGGGGAAGGAGTAGACTGGTCCTCAGAAACTGCAGGGGGTGGTGTTGGAGCAGCATTGCAGGGTACCTGGGATGAGAAGTTAAGCCAGGGAGTCTGAGGATCAGGGCTGGATTCTGCTTCATCCGGCTCTGGCTCCTCCATGGCCTGTGATGGGGCTGGGTCCAGTTTTCCTGGGCTGCTATCTGGTGTGAGGACGGAGCTGCTCAACAGGGAGCCATGACTCTGAGTCTGGCTCAGCCAGGACAGGAAAGCTGACTGGCTGAGGTCATGCTGGCTCTGACCCAGAGACAATGGGGAGCCTTCTGGCTCCAGGAACCCATTATGGGACTGGAGGTGGGGTTGGGTTTGGGGTGAAGGCAGGGGTTGGGGCTCAAGGTGGAGTTGGGGTTGGAGTGGAGGTGAAGGCTGGGGTTGGGGTTGGGACTGAAATTCAGGATGGAGCTGGGCCTCAGGATGTTCTGAATCTTGACTCTTGATGGGAGATGTAAGGTGCCTAGGTCGCACAAAACCAGGCTTAGTTTTTCGAGGTCGGCCTCGAGCCCGGACAGGTGAAGCAGCAGGGGCACTGGAATCAGCTAGCTCCTGCTTTACAAGGAGGGTTGAGTTAGGTGCTGGATGGGCTGCCATCTTTAAGGAGTTAGGTTCCTGCTTTACCACATCCTCAGGAACTAGAAAGAGAAGTAAAGAGCGTCAAACATACACTGATACAGAGAGAGAAAAGATGTGTATATAAAAACACAGGAGATGTACTGTATTGCTTTCTCTCTGTAAACTTACACAGATTCCACTAGGAACAACTTAAACGCCAATGACTAGAACCTGGGGAGAAGCACACACCCCAACAAGTCCTAAGCTAAGATTAACAGAGGACCCAATTATAGGGTGAGCGCTACTCTGGGGACACTAAGCTCACTTCAATGCTCTCAATTACCCTACAGTGCACACATTTTACTGCATCTCTTTCCCATCGAAGCATACTTAGTAAATGATCAGACTGGCTGTTAGATCTTTCACATAAGAGCTGGCACTCTTACTCACTAGCCTATACCCAATCCCATGAAATGAAAAGAAAACGAGCAGTGCGGAGAAAAAGAAAAGCAGTTTACTTTGCTTGTTAACCAGGACATAAAATTCAGGAGCTCACAGGCACACCTACCTAAATTCCCCTCTGTTCCTTCCACAAAGATCCCGGCCAAATATGGAAGCACCCAGTAGCGGCGTCTGTAGCGGTCCTGACCCAAGGAGACAGCCCGAAGCATTTGGGATGAGTGAAGCAGCTTTTTGCGAAAGAAGAACTGGCGCTGTGTGGGCAATGAAAAAAGAAGATGGTTAAAAAAGAAAAAAAAAGGATGGCATCTGGGCCCAACGCAGAATGTGACCAACCTCCAGCTCCCTCCAAACCCATTTTACCTTGCTGAGTTTTTCTATCTGGCGCTCTAGTTCTGGGATGCTGGAGGCTGGGATATCAACCTGAAGAAACGAGTGGGCAATGAGAAATGTTGGTAAAAACATGAAAGAGAAATAATTGATTTCTCAACTGCTACTTTCCTCAGTCCAAAACCCATACCTCTCCATCTCTTCGACCCCTCCGGCCACGGCCAGATGCAATAGTCTCTTCCTCTTCCTCCTCCTCCATGCCACTGGTCTCCTCCATGATGCGAGAACTTCGCCTCCGCCCCAGACCTTCGTCTGGCCCTTGCATCTCTACTTCAGGCCGCCCAGTTCGCTTGGCCAGAGCAGTTTTCAATCTTGAAACAGGTAAGGAGAAATTAGAGAACACCGGGTTCCAGGCCTAAGTTCTGGCTAGGTTTTCCCCTTTGCCACTTCTCTGTGAGCACTACCCCTACCCATGTCCCATCCTTACCTCCGGAGCCGGCCTTCAACAATCCACTTATTTTTCCTGTAGCTGGACATACTCTCCAGGGTCTTGTCAATTTCACTGCGGTGGAACAGAGAAGGGGAATGAGGTTTTGAAGTAGAAGGGACACACAAGGTAAAGGGAGGGAGTCTCAGGGGTGATGGGACCACAGCTGAATAAGGAACTACGAGCTAGGATCTGGACTGGATGGATGACAAAGGTCTTCAGTTCTCTGGGAAGGCACAGAGATTCCATTCCAAAGAACTCCAGTATCTCCCGATCAGGGCACTGGACACATATCCCCCCAGCACCTCTGGATGGCTGTTTCTCCTCCACCCCCAGCCTGGGCTAGCTTTAAGATAGGTGTGACACAGACACACATTGATCCATCTCCACCCCTAGGTCCTCACTTGATGATAAGGGTGGAGCCATTGAGCTCATGTACAAGGAAGGCCAGGACAGCAGCCTTCTGTTGGGGTGGCTGGGCCTGAAAAGGCTGGGTGCGCAGGCTGTCACAGAAGGCTGGCTCCACTCCATATGCCATAAGAAAGCAGCGCAGGATCTCAGACACATTGTCTCTCGTCAGTGGGATCTCCGACACCTTCTCCCCCAGGATCTTTAAGGACTGTTTGAAGGAGAGCATAATGGGAATGAGGGGGGGATACAGCAATAGAGAACTAGGGAGTTAAGACATGACAAGGAGGAGGAAAGTTGCTGAGACAAGATGAAGGGAAAGAAAGCAAAAGAAAATGGATAAAATAAAGAAAAAAGAACAAAATTAGCAGAGGGGAGTCAGGAAGAAAGAGGAACAGAAGAAACAAGGTAAGAAAAACAAAAACGGGAAGAAACTGCATCTCCCTTCACTTTAGGGAGTGATTTTCAAGCATTCTTAAAAGGGAAAGTATAATTGAGAGAAGGCACTGGAGCCCAGCCCTCCACACGGCCCTAGGAGAGGGTCTCACCTGACAGTAGGAGGGCAAGCCAGGATCATAGAGTGCAGCCTTCAGGAGCCGCATCAGCAGGTCCTGCACCTCGCCCAAGCTGTCACCTTGACACAACAGTCCCTCCTGCAGGACCCCCAGGCTAGGCACATCTTTAGCAGGATCAAAGCCCAGCACCTTGCCGAAACTGTGCAGAAACTCCACAATGGTCAAGCAGTCGGAAAAGATTCCACTGGGCAGTATCAGACCAGGAATGCGAGTGAAGTCCGGCAGAGGCTGTAGGGATAAAAGTGGCACAGGGTCCTGGCAAATACCCTAGAAATTAACAGTTGGGTGGATCCATTGGGCGTTCCCCTAGGACCCCGGACTTGTTACTCTCCCTTCACTACCTGGTGGTCAGTCAGACACATATCCTCGGTGGGCTTCTTCATCTCCTCCAAGATCATCTGTTGCCTCTGCCGCTCCTCCAAGCGCCTCTGGGTGGCCAGCGTCTTGTCTGCTTTACAGGCGGGCTTGGCTTTGGCCAGTCCCTCCTTTTCCTTCATTTTCACCTTCTCCTTCTTTTCTCTCTTGACTTTTTCCTTCAATTTTTCCTGCTTTGTTTTAACCTTCTCCTTCTCAGCCTACCCATCATGGGAAGAGAAAATCATAGAAATTCTATCTTTCACTGTTCCCCAAGCTGTCTCAATCTCGAAGCCCAGAAATGTAATTATAAAAGATGATCTTTAAACTTCAATCCAAAAAGACCCCTTGCAGTCTTCTTTAAAACAAACAGTAGTTTAGCTTAACTAGTAAACAGTGTCTGTCTTTAGCATTGTGCTCTTTTAAAGAATTATCTGTAGCAGATCAAAATGGTTTTAGCAAGCTAAATTTAAATTTAAGTTAAATGTAACAAGTTTAATGCTGATGAGAGGAATCATTTGGAAAAAGTAAGAATGGTCATGCAAGTGGAAGGCAATAATCAATCACTGAATTGGACATGCAGAAATTGGTGTTACTGTGCATATTTTCAACAACAAAAAAATTATTTAAAAAATTATGAGAGGTGTTTTGTTTTTAAAAGCAGTTTGGTAAAAGAAGAAAGTTTAGTGGACTCAAAGTTATACTTGAGCGTTTACATGCACTTACCTTGGATTTTTTCTTAGTTTCCTTCTGCTTTACGCTCTTGGTCTCTTGTTTCCGTTTGTTTCGGGCCTGTAAACCAAAAGGGAAGTCATTTCTCTACTTGGATTAGGGTTCAAGAGAGGAGAGAGAGGTGAGCGGTGGGATGAGAGGTGGGCAATGGCTCACTTCTCTATGCTTGGAGACGCTCACGTTATTCTCAAACAAGCTCGATTTTCCAAGCCAAGGCCGAGAGGCTTCAAGGTATTGAATGTGTGCTGGTATGAGTGGCAGATGTGGAAAGATGCAGCAGACTCTAGGAAAAGTGAGCCACTGTCCTCTCTTCAACGGCACCCACCTGCCCTTGGTTAGGAGTCTGACATTCTCCTCGTTGGATCTTCCGCTTTATCTTCTTTTTAATTTTACTTATTTTTGCTTTATCATCTTCATTCAGTGATTCTGTTAGGCCAGAGAGGAAAAATTGTAAAACAGAAGCCTGGTTCTTGGCTGTGAAGGTGGCACAAATGCTTGCCATACAATAGGCTTCTTAAAGAGCTTCCTTAGAGTTCTATACCCTGTCCTACAGGATTGCGGCTATGACTCGGAAGTGGCACCAAGGCAGTGGTTTGTTATTGAACCTTTGATGTTAAGTGCAATACAAGTCTACTACCAGAAAATGAGGCAGATTGCTATTCAAAAATGACACAGGAGCTATTAAAGGGGCCAGACTGAACAGTGACCTGTGTTAGAGATTTTAAAAGACAATAAAGTAATTTTGGGCAAAACAAAACAAAACAAAAAACCCCCAGCTTCCGTAAGTTACCTAGTTTTATATTTTCTTTTTTTTAAAAGATACATATAATGTATATGTGCAGAGTGAAATTAAAAGAAGCACTTGCTCTGGGGTGGCACAAATAACCCAAAGGGACTTTTCTGGCCAGAAACCCAGCTGATGTAAGGCGCCACAATGGCAGCCTTGTAGCTACTTCTCTCCTAGGTTATGTACCTGAAAAGGCAGCAACCCACAGACTGATTTTAAGAGCAGAGAAAGAGACGGCAAGCCAAAGTGCCAGGCAAAGTGAGTGGTCTCCAGAGTCGGAAGCAGTGATTAATTAAGCAAGACTGCACCATACAACATAACTGATGTAGCTGAATGGTACACATGAAAGCATGTTGATTTGGAAAGTGTATGTGTATATGTGTATACACACCACACCACACCACCACCACACACACGGAGGGGAAAAAGTATGCCCAGATAATGGAGACTTCAGCAGAGTTTGGACCACACTGACACAGCTTTCGTTTAAGCTTGGTTCCCATGTCTTGTCCCATGAAAGATCAGAGATTTTTCTTTCCGAAGACTGAATATTAAAGTATACGGCATTTTAGAATTAATGTTTTTCACATGACAGTACTTATTCTTCCATTTCTAATTTAGAAACACCACCATATAACATCTGTATGGCAATTCTCTGAAGTAAATGCTTTATGCAGATCGACTAGCCATTTACAAATTCTATTAAAATCTAAGAGGCTTGTCCTAGGCCATACAAGTCGGCATATAACCAAGCTGGGACTCTGAAAAGCCTCACTGGCACCACTACGGAGGTGCAGACCACACCAGTGACACTGTCAGAGGGAATGACAAGATGACTTTCTTCCTAAGATTTTTATGCATTGCTTCACTGTATTTCTTATAAAAACATCCCTGTAGTTAGTTATAATAGCAAAAATTATTTTTCATTAAGCCCAGCTTCTATATATCATTATACCTACAAGGTTAAGAACTCAAAAACTCGCTGCCATTGAGTCACTGCTGACTCACAGCGGCCCCCTGTGGCTTTCTGAGATTTTAATGGTTTAGTAACTGATTAGTAGAAAGCCCAATCTTTCTTTCTTCAGCAAAGCTGCTGGTAGTTTTCAACTGCTGACCACGCAGACCAGAGCCCAACGTGTAACCACTACTGGGGCTCAATCTCAAGAGGGACAAGGTTAAGAAGACTCCATGCTAGCTAACTTCCTTTTTGAACCTTGTGATGCACTCGACACTGTCACCCAGTTACAATGATGTTTACGAATCATGTGATTTCATCTGCACATGTTACAAACATGCTGTTGTGTTTTGTTGCTACTGGCAAATGTTCCAGGTGTTTTAGCTACAATATTGTGGTAATTAGTATTTGTGAACCTATATCAGTAACTTTAAAGAATGAAGTAGTAATTAGGAGGAGGGGAGTAGGAAAGTTAATAACAATGTTAACAAATAATGTAGTTCAATTTAGAAAGGTATTACATAACAATTTTGAAGTTCATATTCATATGATCCAAAAAATATTACTTAAGCAATTTACAAATCTATTCAACGCCTATTGTGCTAGAGTAAAACGGATGGTGTTATTAAGGCTTCCATAGGGTCCGGGGCAGGAGGCAGGTCCCTAGAGAGAGAGCAGTGACACCATGCAGTGGAGTATCCTAGTGACACCACTGACACAGAGTCAGAGGGCTCCACAGGACCATTCCAATAGTTACTAAAGAACCAGACCCAGCCTACCCACCTCTCCCACTAAAACCATGTCAAGTATCTTGAATTCAGAGGTGAATTCTTAATCTCCACAAAGGGGATAGATAATAAGTAAGAATTACATATCTGAATCCAGTGTGCTAAGCAAGTAGTTTTAAGACTGGTGGGGGCAGGAAAGCCTTCCCTCTCCTCTGGCCTACATCATTAAATCTGGAGCCAGTCTATGGCTCCAATAGTAAGAGCAACTCAAGGAAAAATCTGGCCAAAAAGAACAACTCCCAAAGTGTTTGGAAGCCAGTGGTGCATCCCAGGGAGGTGATTCAGACTTGTTCTAGCTGGATAGTATCAGTCACGCCCCTGGGAGACCTCGCTGAGGGAGCAGACTGCCAAGAAAAAATGAAATTACCGTACCTTGGGCCTCTGCTTTTTTCAGGAGGCGGTTGTCTGTCTTACTCACTAGCTCAGTGACTTTGACCTTGGGGGGCCGACCTCGGCCCCGCTTCACCTTGGTGACCTCCTTGGCCTTGGCCTTCTCGGTGTTTCGAGGTCGGCCCCGTTTGCCAGTAATTGCTTGAATCCTGGATGGGATTTCCTCTGCTGAGAGCTGTACCCACTGCACACCCTAAGGCAACGGAGAAAACTATGTTACAATGGGAGGCCTTGGGGAGGCCCCAGAACCACTCAATGCCTCAACTTTCCAGCCCCACCAGAGGAAGCGACGCTTTTCTAGTACAAATGCTTAATGAACCCCCTTGGGTCTGCACCTCTGGTGTGTCTCTCTCTTCAAAGAAATCTCCAATAGGCATTCGGGGACTGAAGCTGAAGTGCTCACGACGCACGTTGTGCACTACGTTTCGGCTCAGGTACTAGGAGGAGGAGGTAAAGTGGCATTAATGAAGGTGTAGCCCAACCTACCTTTGGTCAACAATGGTGCGAGCAGAACAGGTCCGAGAGTGGACTATGTCAGTCTGCTGCCACTGGACTATGAAAGGAGTCTATGCTTCCCTAAGAAAGTCCATGGAAGCTACATTACCTTAATCACTTCCGGGAACTGTTTCATCCTCTTCCCACAGGGGCCATAATACCAGGTCTCTCCCTGCCATCGGTGGCTGCCTTTCTTGATGCGCACCTCTCTCCGCCACCTGCCAGAGAAGCAGACGGGCCCTGCCACCAGGTCACACCCCTACCCACTCCCCATGCAACCCAGGAGCCAAGCCCACTGACCAGATGACCCTCCCATATCTGTCTCATTAGAGTTGCACGTGGCACAAAAAGCGGCCTGAAACCCAAGTTTAGCTAGAAGGCAGGCTCAAGCTTTAGCAAACCCTTCAGGCCATAGGAGGAAAGCAATAGCCCAACTGCACAATGCGCAAGCTCAGAAGCCAATCCCAGTGCACCCCACCTCCTGGCCTCCCAATGCCATTCAGAGAAATTATTGGTGAAGAGCATGAAGATGTAAGGGAATAAAAGCAAGAGACAGAGCGTGAGGAGGCAAGCAGAAAAGTTAAACTTGCTGCTGATTCCAAGAAATGATCAGTCAGCCAAGGTTTAGGTAGGAACTCTGTGTTCTGAACAGGAGATCACTTACTCTAAGACTAAACCTTATCTCTGCCTCCAAACTTTAAGCAGTACTCAGACTTGGTGACCACAGTTCCCTCGAGGGATAGGGGTGGGGGAAGACTCCAGGAAGGCAGTTAGTCCTACAAAGCCCTTGGTGTCAGCTGTCATGCTCCTTCTGGTCATGTACTCTTCCTGTACTTAGCCCTCCAAAAAGCAGAACATTAACAAATAAAAATTTTAAATCCCACCTCACTGCTACTATGCCATTCCCCATTCACTGCTATCCCTTCTTCACACAAATAGGGTAAGTCACCTAGTTTGGCCATCTGGGTCCTAGGGTCACCAGCTGGGTTTGGAAAAGGTATTAACTAGAGCCCCTTGAGCAAAACTGAGTCATCACACGATGAAGAAAGAAATGGTGAGGGGAGCCAGCTCCTGAGAAAGGAAGAAGAAAAGCCTAGGAATTGCATACCCAGAAACATTGTCATTACAGATTAACTGCTCTTTTATACACTCGGCTGACTATTGTTCCTCCCCCCTCGGACAATGAGAGTGGCACCCTTCTTCCTAAAGTCATGCATTCAACGTGTCATGGCCAACACACATAGCAAACTAGAGCATTTACCCATGCTGGAGGGGAAGGCGAACTTCTTCTGCAGTAGCAATCCGTCTCCTTAGAACATCACCTTGGGAAGAAGACGAGATATACACACAAACTGAGAGTTCAAGCAAAATCCTACGATACCACAGCAATGGGGAAGGGCCAAACACAAGGCAGGCTCTTCCTGTTACCAGCCAGAAGTGGAGCCTGCCACTCACCACTGCCAGCAGTGACTCCGTCTCCAGTGTTATCTTCCAGATCAGCAGTGGTCTCAGGGAAGCTGTTCACCTCCTCATTTGTTGGGGAGACTGTCGGGAAGGTGGCTGCTGGAGAAGCTGCAGGGGACGCTTTCAGGGAGGTCACTGGGGAGGTAGTCAGGGAGACTTCTGAGAAAACTGCTGGGAGGGTTGCTGAGGAAGTTGGAGAGGCTGTTGGAAAAGCAGCTGGGGAGACAATTGGGGAGATTTCTGTGGAAGCTGCTGGAGAGGCTTCCGGAGAAATTCCCAGGGACTCTGTTGGTGATGCTGCTGCTGAGGTTGCTGGGTGTAGGTGAATAGTGGATGGCTGGTCAGAGGCTGTCTGGGTCAGGGGTGGCGGGAAGTCAGAAGCCTGAGTCTCCATTTCTTCCTGTTCTGTATCACTACCATTATTCAGATCAAAGCTGTTATCTAGAAATCAAAGAGACAGGATGGGTAAAGGAAAAATGGTGTCACTCAAAACAAAAGGCTCCACTTAGTCAAAGTGGACTAAGGTAAACAAGGCCACTTGCAGGGCTTTTCTCAAGGGTTAGAAAGAGAAGTCACTTCTGTTTTTCTCTCCAAGCAGTTGTGAAGGTGTCCCTGTGGGGAAAAGTTTCTTGTCTTTCACCTGGAGCCTGGGCAGAGATCTGAGTACAGGCTGTTCCTGGTGATGAACCTAACTTACAGACAGACGCCTACATGCCCTTGAATATGATGTACATTTGCCCTCACTTTGATATGCCGAACTCTATTTGTAACCACTCCATCACAATCACAATCACCTTCAGTAGCTTTTAAGTAATTGATAAGCCTTTAATGGCACTACCAAAAAACCCCAACCTAAACAACAAACCTCAAACCCACTGCCAGTCGATTCCAATCATACAAAACAGAAGAGCTCGGCAGCGTGTGCGTCTACATCTTTCAGAAGCAGCCATCCTCCTCTTTCTCTCATGGAGCAGCTGGTGGGTTTGAACCAACTTTCTGGTTGGCAGCTCAACTCAATGTGCCCTAAAGGATCCTTTTCTTACACAGTTATGGCAAAGAGGGATGCATACCTATGCCAACTCACATGTTCTTAAAGACACAGGAACAGGTCTGGTTTATACACCCAGACTGCCTGTGCCTTTGTAGTCCCACATCCACTCACTCTCTTACTGCCCTCAGCTCCTAGCAAGGTGCTCTCCTAGGCTTCTGGCCCTCACATTTTTTAATCCCACACATCATTACGTACCTTGCAGGACAGACTCCCCCAAGACAGGTGGAGAGGTTGGGCTGGCAAAGATAGATGCTGAAGTTTGACTATCATCTGCCAGGAGACTGAAGGCAGTGGTGTTATTGAGTGAAGGGCAATTAAGATCAGAGATGACAGAGCTGTCCCCCAGAGGCAGCTTATCCTCTTCACCCATCAGCTCGGTATCATCTATACCATAGAGTCCTCCACTCACTGGCTCTGTACATGGAGGAGGAAAAAATGCGGAAAGTATTAAGCGAAATTCAGAAAGCAAGATTCCTTTAGAGAATATTGATTCAAAGATATCCTATTCTAATTCCCATAGTTTGAAGATTTCCCCCAATGTTGTAGAAATTTTACAGTTCTCTTCCTGAAAGAATAGTCACTATAAGAATCACTGAAGCTTGAGGTGGAAATGAAGGAAAGGCGCTGACCATCGCTATATGAACTCACATAACAGTGCAAAACCTTACTATCATAAAACCGACCTTTCTTACAATTTAGTGGGGTAAGAGTTCAATGGTAAACTGCTCCCTGGCCACGAGTGAGAACCCAAATAGCCCAACTATGTGGTAATAAGTCCCTAACCCAATGAATTATTATAAGTCAGGGCTCCTGGCCAAAAGGAACATTGGGAGATATCCTGGGAAAGGAACCAATTCAGCTCAGAGTGCAGCTGGCCCACAGAGCAGCTGGATGAAACTGGGATCTGCCACAGGAGTATCTGGAGGCCCCAGATTCCCTAGCACTTTCCCTGGTTTACTTGCTCTTCCTGGCAGTAGAGAGCAGACTGCCCTCTGCATGGCTCAGTTAGAAGAACCCAGTCTCCAAGCTCACCTGGTGCTAGAGAGTTGAAGGGCTCCAATGAATCTTCACTGAGGATTGGAGTGTCTTCCAGTTGGTCAGGAAGGTGTGAAGGATCATCTAAGCAGCTCACAGAAGGGTCAGGGACCAGGACAGAGACATTTTGGTGCAATGAGTCCACAGAGGGGATGGAGCCATTATAGCCACACATCTTCAGTTCTGGGAAATCCAGGAAGAATGTGAAAATCAGTTCATTGAGGTATACTAGGCAGTCAATCTCTGCTTCAGGATGTTCATTCAATGTTTATTGCTGCCAGGGTACCAGTTCTTTGCTGGGTACTGACCAGGCTGAGATATGTTGGTAGAATACTATAGCAGGCAGAGAGGGCAAAAGAGAGCAGGGTCTGAGACCAGAGGCCCAGCATGTTCTCAGAAAAGTCCCTAATCCAGTAGGGATAATTGCTCAACAGAGAAAACATTCTGTGATTTGACAAGGTGCTCACTCTTGAAATTAGAATCAATTACAAGCTTTAATATATTCTGAGGGCAAAAATGAGAAGGACTGGCACCCGTATTAGTGCTAACAACAACAAAAAGTAACTACAGGCAATGGTATGATCGACCTGCCTCCTTCCCCTTTCACACACCAGTCACTACCAGGGCTCAGCCTCGTTCAGCAGCCAGTCTGACCCTGCCCATCACTCAAAACTGCCTGAGTGCCCACTGCTGATGCCCTGAGCCCTGCTGGTCTTTTGGAAAAAATTCCTTTTTGATGCAGGGTGTCTGTTGGGGCTGTTTCGGGCTCGCCCACCTGCCCTCTCCAGGCCAGCAGCTCTGCATGAGCTTGAAATAATTTGCACTCCCACTCTCGAGCTGGTGCTGCTGCCACAAAACACCAGCCACTTGGCTCTGCTAATCACCAACATGCAAATCAGCCTCCACTGCAGAGAGCTGGAAAGACAAGTTTTCCTCACCTCAAAAATCCACTGTCCCCCACAGTCCCATTGTCCCTTTCCCCACCCGGCTCACAACACCCCGATTATACCTGACTGCTCCTGTTCCAGCTCCAGGCTGCCTACCAAGCCAGTGCCGTTTTCTGCCACCACTGAAGTCAGCTCCTTTTCTCCCGTCTCATCAGGATGGATACCACTGCCTACCTCCTGGGAGGGGGCAAAGGTCTGGGTGCTGGATCCCAACATAGGAGAAGACTGTGGGGAGGTGAAAAAACTAGGGGGTCCATTGGGTATCACCTCAAAATTCTGGTCAGGAAAGGAATCATACAGTTCCTGTGAGTCGAAGTTAAGCCCCATGGGACTCTGGGTACCATTGGCCCAGAACTCTTGGCTCCCAGCCCGAAGGTTAGTGTTGTGACTTGGGGATGAAGGTTGTCGGCTGCCTCCAAGGATGCCGTTGAGTGGATACTGTCCCCCAGAAAACTGAGAGAGAAGGGGTGGGTCCTTGAGGTTGCCGCCAGGATTGGCAGATGGGTATTGTGGATAGTTCCAGAGACAGTCGTAGGCCACGTTGGGGTGATGGAGGTGTGAGGTGCTGGAGGAGTGGGAAGCAGAGTTCAAAATCCCTGAAGTAGTAGTGTGAGATACAGTAGATAAGCCATTAACATTCACATCCCCATTCAAACCTGGTGAGGAGGAAAAGAGAGTTAGTTACACATATGTATGCAAGTAACTACCCAGAAGAACCCCAAAGTAACAGCAATGACAACAGAAAGGGAAGGTGAAGGGGAGGATTCCCCATTTGCTATATTTGGCTTTTGAGTCTCTGAGGAACACCAAACCCAAATGCTCTTGGATTTAAGTTTAGCAACTGCTGCTGAGGCTGCAGAGTTAAGGTGCTGGGAGCTAGCTTGGTCTACCCCGGGAGCCACCAGCACAGGGCTGGCTGCTGCTTATGCTCAGAGCTTTTTCTTTTTTAAATAAAGCTGTTTTCAGACTTCCTACAGTGACTTGCATTCTTCCCCACTCTTTTTCTCTAGAGGACTTCTTCCCTGGAGTAGGGGACTGGATTTTCTAGGTCCTCCAAGTGCCTGTTTGGCCCTGCAGTGGCACCAGAAGGGACAGCCTCCACGTCAATGGCACATGCAGATCTAGCACTTTGTGCTGGGCTAAGAATAGAATTTGCAGGGTGGAGGGAGGGTGGGGTGGAAAGGGGGGAACCGATTACAAGGATCTACATATCACCTCTTCCCTGGGGGATGGACAACAGAAAAGTGGGTGAAGGGAGACATCAGACAGTGCAAGATCTGACAAAATAATAATTTATAAATTATCAAGGGTTAATGAGGGAGGGGAGAGCGGGGAGGGAGGGGAAAATGAGGAGCTGATGCCAGGGGCTTAAGTGGAGAGCAAATGCTTTGAGAATGATGAAGGCAATGAATGTACAAATGTGCTTTACAAAATGGATGTATGTATGGATAGTGATGAGTTGTATGAGCCCCTAATGAAATGATTTTTAAAACACCCCCCCCAAACAAAACAAAACAAAACAAAAAATAAAAAGAATAGAATCTGCAGTCACCACAGCGACAAGATCTTAGCTCAGGAGGCTGGGCTTGGCCCCTCCCCATAGGCACTAGAAGGTAATTTACGGGGAGGGTGGTGGTGGTGGAGATCATAGCATGATCAGTGCTGCAGCAACCTCTGGATTGGAGAGTAATCAAATTTTTAAAACTAAGGAAGCTGTGAGGGGCCTTCAATGAAATACAACAGTTTCTATCGCTCTGCAATTCGACTGGAGATGACAGGAGGGGGAAGTGTCCAGTGTTTAAGTCTGAGACAGTAATTATCTGCAGCACAGACGAGAGGATACATGTAGGCTTCTCTCTGCTTCTAAGCATAAAATGCCTGAAAACTAGGCAAGATTAGAAAGGTACTTGGCAACTGATAAAAGTCAAATTCAGGAAAAGATCTAATTCTGGCAGCAACACTTTCATGTGGAATTATATAAATGTTTCTCTCCGGAGAACCAGGTAAGTAAGCACTAAAACCCTCCCTTATCCCTGCCTTCTATCATAAGGACCCATAGTGGCACAGGTGCTTCCAGTATCTGCTCTCTTCTCTAGCGTACAAACCAACTGAATGGCAAACAGCCCATCTTAGCCCCAACTTTCAACCCTAGCCCTAACCCATCCGCAGAGGCTTCTCCAACCTCTAAAATCGCTTCTTGGATGGTGGGCCCTTTTGTCTTGCTCTTTCATGGGTCTGACTGGTCTTCAGCAGCAGTATCTGTGTTACCACTCTCTGGCAGTAGCCAGGGGACAGGGCTGACGGAAGAGCAGGCGAAGGTGAAAAAAACCAAGTATGTTTTCCTAACCCCTAAAAAACCTTATGTAGCCTCCATAAACCCCTAGGATTTGTTCTTAGAAGCCTGCAATTTTTTCCAGCAGCGAGAGTTCTATGGATTTACTTCCTCCTTCCCAGACAGGCAGGAAAGAGTTGGAGTAGCTAGTTCATGTGGAAACCAAAGCTCCTCCCATCCACCTGCTTTAAAGGAGTAATGCCCATCCCCTCCCCAGACCATGACCATCACACTCACTTTTCCCTTGCTGGGGGAAGTTCATGGGAGACCCGTTAGTGTAGAGGCCCTCCCCTGAAGGAGAGGGTTTCAGTCCTGAGGCAGCAGATGCAGGGGGAAGGCCAGTAAAATTAAAATGGTCATTTGCCTCCATTTCTGTAGGAGGGAAGAGAGAGATGGGGGGAAAACACTGTAGGTTAAACAAAGTCATGTCATTTGGACTCTTCTCGAAGGAATGTTCCCAGTCCTCCACATTATTTATACTTACCCTTTTCTACCTGATTATGGCAAAACGAGGGATTGAGAAAAGAGAAGGAGATATCCCTAGTTAAGGAATGGTTTTATAAGAATAAGTTTTCTAAAGCTAGTCTGGCTTTAAGAGATAAAAATGGGGGTGGGGTAGGGGGAAACACAAGATGTGGACTTGGTCCTCCTTCTATGTGAATCTCCCCACACCCCCATAAGCCTCTCAAACTCAGGTTACTCCTCTATATCAGATATTAATGCTGTATTCTAATATCTAACATTCTCCAACCTTTCTTTTTTTTTTTTTTCCATTTCCCCCCTCAAAGGTCAGAGTCCCATTGCCAGGGACCACAGAAAATTCTCTTTAACAGGAAGCCCTGGAGATAGAGATGTCAGCAGGAAAAGTATATCTAATCTACACCATGCTTTATTTTGCCATTATATATCTTGAGCTAAATAGCTAACACATAGCCGTAGACATCTGAAGGATAGAGTGCAATTAAACTAATAAAAGGATTTTGAGAAGAATACATCGCAGAGAAAGTGACCAAGTGGCACAACTCAAATCATCCAACACTTCTAATCATTTATGGGAAATAGAATCCTTTCTAAGAACACAGAGCTCAGAAAAATGTCAGACAGAAAATCCTTAAATGAGAGGGTATCTAAAAAATATATAACGTTATAGCTACTAATACAACCTAAATCTTTGGCTTTGTGGTCTAGATGTAAGTCTCATGGAGAAAACAGAACTACAAAGAAGATACTCCTGTCTGAAAAGAGTGGTAGCTCGCTGAGTGGTTAAAAAGCTTTCACCTTTCCTAATACGACTTAGCATAGGGCTAGGAATGACAAGTGACCCCCTTGATCTGAATAACTATAACTTTGCTAGAAGGGCGGGGAGATAAGAAGCAAAAGCTAGAATTACTGGTAAAACCCAACATTTCAATCCTAGATACTTGTGCTATACTAGAGCACACTAACTTGAATGTAAGAAGCATGACCTGTCTTGATACAGGAAAAGCAACCCCTTGCTTTTAAAACAAGGAGGCAGAATTCGGAGAAGTTTCTTCGTTAATTTTATAAAATCAAGCAATAAGCACACCTATGTGATATTTTAAATAGTCTTTAAAAAAAAGGGGAAAAAAGTGTTTTGTTGCTTTGAGGGGAGGAAAAAGTTTGTAGGGTTGACTTATTTCCCAGGCAGGAATTTTCACTTCACTCTAAGTAGCTGACCTAAACATTAATGAAGAAACTAAACTGCTTTTCATACAGAAAAAAACTCAGGCCCCCTCCCCCCCTGATTTTCCTATAGTTTAATTGGAGCCACTCAACAGTAAGGAATTTCATAAGGATCCCAAGAGAAGTGGACATTCTGAAACGAAACGTCTGAAGAAGGAAGTTTGGTTCCCTTATATTTACAGTAGGGTCCTTCCAAAGATTACTGTATATCCCAGAGACGTTCAGTAGTCCCTTTCAGAAGTCCTGGAAATCTGATCTCATCTGATTCACTCACTCGCGCCGTCCAGTTTTATGTGCAGCCACACACCTCCTTGGCTGGCTCACTCACTCACTCACCCACTACTACACTGGGTTCCCCGTTTCTGTGAACTTAACTATATTCTCCTACTCAGTGACAGGCCACAGTTCAGTTTCCCATTCTCTGTGAATCCATGAAGAAAGGAATGATCTCTGCTGTTCAGGGAAAAAACAGCATTTCCCGTTTCATACATACTAATAAGATCACTTACGAAAATCTGCTAAGTAGAAGGAATGGGGGTAATTATCTGGTGCCCTGGTGTGCTGATCTGTTTCCCACCACCTGCTACTAAAGGGTCATCAGGACCACATCACTTCACTTATAAAATGTTTCCTAGATGTACAAAATACGCTGTGCAGTGAGGTCAGCACAAGGAAGTGGCTGCAGGTTGGAATCCCAGCTCTATTTACTGTGACCTTGGACAAATTACTTAACCTTGATGAAACTCAGTTTTATGATTTGTAAAAATTGTAGTAGCCACTTCCTGGCGAGGATTAAATAAGATAAAGAACACAGTGGTGTCTGTCACTTAGCAAGCAATAAATGTTTAGTAGTAGTAGTACAGGAGAAGCTACTAAATTTTTCAAAAAGATGATCAGATTCAAAAAGTCTAAATATAACAAATTTAAAGACACTACCGCTTATTTCATTTTAAATTGACATTTACCTTCAATAAAAATCTGAAGGTAATTTTGTCCTCTCATCCAGCAGAGCCAGTAAGGAAAACAATGAAGCAAAATGAGGGTGCCTACCCTTGAATGAATATAGTTTTGGCCAAATGAAAAAGAAATCCAACATAGAAAGAGACAGCTCTCCTCCCCAGGAAGTATAATCAGACAGGCACCCAGCCTAGTCCCAGTTGTATTTAAATGGATCTCTTCAAGAGCCACAGGTTTCATTATTAACATTTAAGAGGCACTGCTCCTTAAGCTTGATGCAGCAGAGCCCAGCTACTGGCCAAATAGGCTGCTTTTCTCAGTCTTAGAGTTATTACAATGTAAGCCTGTGACAAGGTTTTAACAGACAATGCAGACAGAAAGTGTTGGAATAAGTACTGCAGATTTCAACACTGTTGTGGGGCTCAGACCAATTCTCCAGTCAGTCAGGCTAATCACACAAGGACAGGATACAGTCAAACCCATTAGAGGGAAACCTGGGTAGTCCTTGCCCCACTCTAGACTTGTTCTTCCCATACTCAAGGCAAAAAATAAAACCCACTGCAGGCTGAGTGTACATATAGCAACCCTGTAGGGCAAAACAGAACTGTAAATCTCTCATGGTCAGTGGGTTCAAGCTCATCTAGGGCCAATCTCATTTGACAGCTGAGCCAGCCAGGGCTCCTTTTTCCCCAAACCCACTGCCTTCTAGTCGACTCTAACTCACAGCAACCCTATGTAGGTCTTCTGAGATTGTCATCCCTTATTGAAGCAGATAAACTCCTCTTTCACCCTGAGACTGGTGCGTGTAAACAGCTGACCTTGTGGTTATCCGTCTATGCTTACTCAACAGCATAACCAGGGCTCCCACCCAGTATACCAAAATTCAACAAATAGAGGCTCTGATTTTTTTTAATGTACGAGGAAAGATTTATAAATGCTTATCTTCATTAAATAGCAAAATCAACTTCTGCTGTATACCAAATAAGCCACACCAATATATTCTTGTCTTATAATTATGAATATTATGAAGGCTATTTCTCAGTTCTAGACATACGGTGTTGTCTTCATCCACCATACCCCAATTTAGTGATCTCACACAGGATGGCTTTGCCTCTAGTGGTGTTGGCATCTAACAGAAGCCAAGGATGCTAACTCAACATCCTACAATGCACAGGACAGTCCTTACACAGCAAAGAATTATCCTGCCCAAAATGTCAATAATGCCCTGGTTGAAAAGCCCTACTGTACTACAAAAAAGTTCCCATACTCAGAAAGTTCCACAAGTTTTCACTACTCCCAGTTCCTGATGCAGCAAGGAAAGATGCATTTTTTCACTTTATATGAAAATCACTCCTAAAGAACAAAAAGTCGTATCATTGTGTGTTCACCTCCCCAACACGATCGCTGAAGACAAATGGATGCATAAGCAAATGTGGTGAAGAAAGCTGAGGGTGCCCGGCTATCAAAAGATATAGCATCTGGGGTCTTAAAGGCTTGAAGGTAAACAAGTGGCCATCTAGCTCAGAAGCAACAAAGCCCACATGGAAGAAGCACACCAGCCTGTGTGATCGCGAGGTGTCAAAGGGATGAGGTATCAGGCATCAAAGAACAAAAAATCATATCATTGTCAATGAGGGGGAGTGTGGAGTGGGGACCCAAAGCCCACCTGTAGGCAACTGGACATCCCCTTATGGAAGGGTCTCAGGGAGGAGAGGAGCCAGTCAGAATGCAGTATAGCAATGATGAAACCTACAACTTTCCTCTAGTTCCTAAATGCTTCCTTCTCCCCCACTATCATGATCCCAATTCTACCTTACAAATCTGGCTAGACCAGAGGATGTACACTGGTACAGATAGGAACTGGAAACACAGGGAATTCAGGGCGGATGATCCCTTCAGGACCAGTGGTGAGATGGGCGATAAGGGGAGGGTCGAGTGAGGGTGGGTTGCAAAAGGGGAACCGATTACAAGGATCTACGTATAACCTTCTCCCTCGGGGACGGACAACAGAAAAGTGAGTGAATGGAGACGTCAGGCAGTGTAAAACATGACAAAATAATAATTTATAAATTATCAAGGGTTCATGAGGGAGAGGGGAGCGGGGAGGGGGTGGGAATGAGGAGCTGATGCCAGGGGCTTAAGTGGAGAGCTAATGTTTTGAGAATGATGAGGGCAACGAATGTACAAATGTGCTTTACACAACTGATGTATGCATGGATTGTGTTAAAAGTTGTATAAGCCCCCAATAAAATGATTTTAAAAAAAAGAAAACCCCTCTCCTCTGGCTAAACTGTTTCCCAGAGTTCCAAGGTCCATTTGAAATGCCTTTCCCCCCCACCAGAATAGCCCATTATGACAGCCCCATTAACAAGCTTCCCAGAGCACTACACATCGCAGATGGTCTTTGATATAAGGTAGGGCTGTAACAAAAATATTTTAAGTGGGTGTCTTGAACAAAATTTTTCCCTCACAGTTTAGGTGCCGAATTAAAAGTCTGAATTCAGTATACCAGGTAAAGGAGAAGGGTTTCTCCATTAGCTCGGAAGATCCTAGTCTATTCAGCTTCTACTTCCAGGTTCCTTGGAGACCTCTAAACTTCTTGGCATCTATCTTAGACATCTCTCCACTGCTGGCTTGTTTAATCTCTTTTATATCTCAAAAGATTGACTCAAAATACACCCTATACAAATCTGGACTCATTAGCGAAACAAAACCAACTCATTCCCAAATGGGATGACAACAAACACAGAGGTTAGGATTTACAACATACATATTTTGAGAAAATAATTTAGTCCCAAACTGAGACTTTCTCTCTCAAGGTGTCCTTTCCCTAGTCCTCTTCTGAGCAGGAGGAAAGTTATGAAAAAAGAGAACTGTACTAAAATAACTACTCGAAGACAACTGCAATGTCCAGGCTACTCAGAAAACACAGATGATTCTCCTGTCTTTATTTCTTCTATATTATACTATGCAGTGGTTCTCAAGCTTCCTAATGCCGCAACCCTTTAATACAGTTCCTCATGTTGTGCTGACCCCAACCATAAAATTATTTTCGTTGCTACTTCATAACTAATTTTGCTACTGTTATGAATCGGGTGACCCCTGTAAAAGGGTCGTTTGACCCCCAAAGGGGTCTGACCCACAGGTTGACGCTGCTCTACAGCATCAACAAAATTACTAAGCTCTACCATTATATCTCTAGAGCCCCAGGATGGCACAGTTAAGCACAGTATCACTGGCCAAAAGGTCAGTGATTTGACCCTACCCAGAGGTACCTTGGAAAACAAGCCTGATGATGTGCTTCTGAAAGGTCACAGGCACGAACGCCACATGGAACAATTCTGTCTGCACACATGGACTCACCTCAAGTCAAAATCGACTCCACGCAACTAACAGCATTATATAGCCAGCATCAATTTTAGTGCCAAGTACACGAGTAAACCTACCTTTTCTGCCTGTACCAGTGTATTCATCTACTAAGCTCCTACTGTGCTCAGAAAACCTAAAATTCAGTCTGAATCTTCAAAAAGATAAAAATTCCTAGATAGAAGAAAGGCCCCAAATCTAGACATTCTGGCTCTCATTTGCAGAAAATAAAGGCTGGAAACAGAGGTGCAGGGAACAGAACTGGCAATACACTCAAGGTACATAGTAGGTTTTAAAGTTATTTGTTGAGTGAATATAGGAATCTTATAATTGGGTGCTCAGTGTTTTTGTTTCTTCCCCCCCCACCCACCCTTTTTTTTTTGCCACAGCTCTGGTTGCGGCATTAGAAAACGGCTGATTATTCTGCAGCCGCAGAACACTGAAAGCCCTAATTCCAAAGGTTGTGGTGTTCCCGGGTGCCATTAAGTCACAGAGACACCATCATCCCTACAGTTGCTGTGTTTGATCCAATTGCTGCAGCCACCGTTATCAATTCATTTTGTTGAAGGTCTTTCACCTTGTTGAACCTCTCTCTACCAAGCATGATGTATGTCCTCCGTGACTCGTCCCTCTGATACCATGTCCACAGTTTGTTAAGATAGGTTATAACAAGGTTATTTTGGCTCTGTTTCTCATAATTTTAGCTCCAACAGTGAAAGATGCCACCATTTTCCCAAGAAGATATCAAAGCATCCCCAACGCCCCAAAACTGAGTTGAGCAGGCAAGTGATCAAGACTTCAATTCCAAAATACAAATTGTAATAAGATCTACCTCAGTCTCGTAAGAAGCTCATGTGTGATGAATTCTCCTTAAGGGCACGATATCCCTTTAGTCTCTTAACAGCTTCTCAATTTTAATTATTCCTTAAAACTAGGGAAAGGGCAACACACAATAATAATATTTTACTGCAAATGATCCAGTCCAAGAACATTTTCCACAGCTGTTCAAAGGAGATAGGTGTTTTGTTTGGCAGAATTATATAAATTTCAATTTTATGTAACCAAGAGCTGTTACAATATTGTTTCTTCTGACCCAAGTGAAGTAGTAATGCTGATTATCTTGAGTTATGAGGCATCTCAGGAGATCCACTATGCCAAGACACATATCAAGGTTATTTGCCCTAGGAAATGTTTCAAGAATTTTATACTTTTCCTTATGTCCTAGGATATGAAAACTTGAATATTATTGCCTCACTTTACACATCTCATTCAAGTTCATAACAGTTACTGGCTAGCAAGAAAGTTCAACGGTGGCAAGACAGTGTAGGCCTAACAAGTTTTTCTTCTCCTGGTAACTCCTGGGTCCAGAACCATAAAACTACAAGAGGACTTGGTGCATTCTAGATTTCTGATGGGGTGTGAAGTGAATCCACAGCTTTGCTTGCATCTCAACCCCATCTCACTGTACGCTAGTACAGAAATCTCCTGGAGTTCTCAGGTGGGAGAAAAGGGAAAGAAAAAAAATTCTGAACACAGGACTTTGCACAGAACAGAGAAGTTAACCACTCTCCAATTATAGTATTAGGAGGGAAATGTCTTTTAAGACCTGAGAGTAGTCAAGATAGCAAAGCACCTATTCTAATGAATTGGTTCTAAGAAAAGTACAACCTTCAGCACCCAAAATCAAATAATGGGCTTCCCCAGAGGGGCTGCCCTTGGGCTGAAATCACCAAGGAGGAACAATCCCACGTCCTCACCCTTTGGTGAATCAGCCACTAATCCCAACACACAAATCCCATTCATACAGAAATCTTCCCCATTCCTCCTCTTCCCCCACCTCTCAGAACCTACCCTTCTTCCTGTCACAGACTCACTTCCTCAAAGCTCTGCAATTCAGACGTCGTGGTGCTCAAGAACATTCTAACCCAGACCCCACGAAACTCCTTAAGCCCCAAACACCCCACATCTTATTAGCAGCTCGGTCTGCAGAGGTAATTTGCCCTCATTTGTAACCGAGTAGGTTTGCTGGTGAGTAACGGAGTTTGCTCTCAATGACCTCTACTCTAGCTCAAGGAAGGAAGAAAAAAAACAACACCACCCAGCTAGGAAGCCGGAGATGCTCTGAAGCAAGGATAAGGATGTGGATCAATGAGTCAATTGCTGCAACTACTTCCCAGTTGACAAATGAAGTTTCCCCTCACCGCCCCCCCCCAAAAAAAAAAAGTCTAGGGAGAGGAGTCTCAGACCTGAGGGAGAGCAGGATCCATGCTCGCCCAGAAGGCCCCAGAAAATGAAACCAAATCTGATTAAAATGGACATTTCAAAACAACGAGAGCCGCAGCCACAAACGCACAGCTGCCATTTCCCGGCCACTTCCTGCGGGAGGCTGGGGGAGGGGCTGTTTGTGTACAGATGGAGGTGGAAACTATCCCCCTCTGGCCTGCCCCCCCAGATGCAAATCCCTCTCTCCAATAAGCCTACAAAGGAATGACTGCCACTGGCGTGGCCCTCCGCGAGAAACGGGAAGACACCAAGAAGGGGATGCTGCGCCGACAGCTAGGCTGCCGTGGACACGGGGATCCCCTCGCTCGGCGAGGGGCTCCTCCTCTTTCTTCGTCCCTTCAGCCGTGACCGACCGAGCCCCGAGCGCCCATCCGCGGGGTGGAGGGTTCCCCGGGGCGCGGGCACGCTCGCCGAGCAGGGCCCTCGGGGCACGGCGCTGGAGAGCGTGCGCCCCCGCCCCCCACGGGAGACACCGCAGACCCCAGGAACCCCGGCGCAAGCCGAGCCGGCCCCCGGGCACCCCGCACCCTTTCACACGCGGGCAACCCCGTCCCGAAGCCCGGGAAGCGGAGCCCCTCCCGGGGATTCCTGCTCGAGTCCCCCGCGGGAGTCATCGCCACCCGCCAGGCGGCTTCTCCGCCGCCGCCGCCGCCGCCGGGAGCCCCCTCAGCTCCCGCCCGGGCCGTCCCACCGAGGGCCTACAGCCCACCGGGCAGCCCCTCAGCGCCGCCCCCGACCCCTGGGTCAGGAACACCCCCGGCTGGGGGCTGGGTCCCCCAGTAGAAATAACCCCCCAGACAGCTCCGTGCTCCCGAGCCGAGGCTCGAGCCGGTTCCGGAGCCTCTGTTCCCTCAGGGAAGCCTCGGAAGAAAGCGGGACTCCCTCCCCTCAGGCCCCCAAGCCACAGACCCCCTCAAACCTGAGGCAGCGGCGTCCAGCCCGACTCGGGGATCGTCTCTCCCCGGGGAATAGGCGGTTCACATGGCCAGGCTCTGGGCACCAGGACGGGAGGGGATACCTCGGGGGAGGGGGTGCGGGGACTGGGAAGGGGGAGGGGGGACGCGGCTCAACCGCGGGGCCTGAGCGGAGCCAACATGGCCGGCAGGGGAGGAGGGAGCCCGAGCCGGAGGGGGCGGGGAAGCAACGCCACCAGAGCCGCCCTCCACAGCCACCGGGTCCTAGCGCCTGTCGGCGGGGCCGCACGACCAGGTTCTGGGTCCTAGCGCCGCCGCCTATTCTACATTTCCGCCCCCGTCCCCCCCACCCATTACCCACTCAGTACCTCCCTCTCATGGAGGGTGGTAGTCCAAAGAGGGCCAACGGATTATTTCTAGGGCCCAGACATCCGGCCCTCTCTCCTAACTCAAGGGATGGGGATGGGGTCTGGCAAAGGTGGGTCAGAGCATTGGAAATGCACCCCAGGGCAAATATCTGACAGATCACATTACCATACCATCAGCTTAAAAATAGAAGTCAAGCTCTTTAGTCTTTTACTTAACACATTATGGAACCACATGAAAATTCCAACAGCGCATTCCCGGCTTTCACTGATGAAAACTGGTCAATGGGATGCTCAAAATTTTCCTTTCAGTTTCTTCACTCTCTACACTCAGCAGGGTTCTCACACAATGAAAACGTTCCTTTTGACTTGCTGAATGACCTCTGAGGGCTGCTGATGGAAATTACAATGGTTAACAGAAGCTGCTCAGTGACATGCACACACACTCCTTTCCAAGTGGGTCCCAGGGCCAGGTGACATACCTGCCATTCCTTATGGATACCTCCTGGGCCTGGAAGATAATTTGGGGTGGGGGTGGGGGTGTTACATCCTAGACTGGGAAATAGAAAAGTTGAAATATAAAAGCAAGGTTAGTTAGGTCGAAACAGCGCTGGGGGAAACAAGGGAGGTGGTGCAGAGAGCTAAGGTGTTTGCGAAGCCAACCACTCACCTCTGTCCTGAGAGGGCAGCCTGGCCCTGGAGGGATCACCGTGACATCTGCAGGGTCCTGGACCTTGGAAAGATTCCTGTGCGTGGGAAAAGGTTTGGTTCTGAGACCAGGCCAAGATCAGAGTCTGACCCGAACATGGTCAGGTCAGGGAATAATGGGAAAACTGAGCAGCAACTCAGATGTTCCAAATGTCCCCCAAGTCTTAAGAACATTGTCCATATATTTTCAATACTTTTTCTGACAGGGTCACAGAACTATATGACATGGAGAACCACAAATGAGGAAAAACAGAGGCCCTGAGTTTGAGTGCCACCTAAAACAGCTACAACTTCTAACTCAACTCTGCTTGTCAGATGAAGAGATTAAGACCCAGAGAGGTTTAACAACTTGTTCAAGGTCAAAACAGTGGCTAAGATGTGACAAGAAACCAGGTTTCCTTTTCCTGCAGCTCGCCAGTCTTTGCAGGCTTCAGATAATCCGCAGCTGCTTTCTTGCAGTGCAGTTCTACCAAGACAAGACCTTAGATGGGAGAGCTGCTAAGTCGGGTGGGTGGGGAACAAATAACCTTTTTCTCTGGGTGGGGGGGAGGTCTGGGAGAAAAAGATCAGAAGACTCTGTAGAGCTGGATGGGCCTGAGAGGCCAAAGTCATTTGTGTAGATAGGGTTTCCCCCTTCACACACAGCAAACGGTTTAGGAAAGCGATGACACAAACTGTCCTCAGCAGTGTCCACGGCGTGGACCAGAAGAGGAAAAAAAGAAGGGAAGGAAGGGTTTGCTCCCTCTCTTCTGAGATAAGTAAATTACCAGAGGAAGGAGTAGACATGTAGGAACAAGAATCCTTCTCTCTTCCCAATTAGAACAGATTTATAGGTCATCTTAGAGGGGGAAAAAGCTTCCAACAGTCTGCTCACCTCAATTTCCTAAGTGAGAAAGTGCCACTCAGGAACGCTCTGCAAAAAAATGTCCCCCTCTAGTCCCCAACAAAAAACAAAACATCAGGCAGAGAAGGGAGCTCAGGGTGAAAAACTGGTTCCTGAAGGGCAGGAAGAGAAAAGTGTGATCCCATTTCTCCCTGCCCTTTTCCAAGGCAAGAGGGAGAACCTTCCTGCCTCCCACCCCGGAAGATGTGGCTGGCCACTCCAAGGCTGGGGAGACAGAGGAGGAGCCTGTGCCAGTCAGACGGGTGTAACCACGCCCCCTCCCCCCTCCACCACACACCCACGTAAACCCACGCGTTGGCTCCACTCAGCTCAGGAAGAGCCGGTTACTCCTGTGCCCCACAGACGGCCCCCACCCCTTCCGAGCCTCAGGCCTTGTCTCCAGGGCAACCCCTAGGTTTATCCCAGGCTGGAGCAGGTTGGGAAAAGGATAGGTAGGATAGGTAAGAGTCACCTGGAATTAAAAAGGAAAAAGGAGTGGGAGCCATTCTTCCATCCCCTTCATCCCTGGATGGGAAGACCCCTCCTCATTCCATTGAAATAGGAATCTTCCTTGCTGGTTGAAGAACAGATGAGGGTGGGGCAACAATATGCCCAACAGCTGGGTGTTTACATCTTGCCAGAAGCCACCCCAGGCAGCAGCTGTGCTTCTCCCCACATCCAGACAACAGAGGGCAGACTGACCCCATATGTCCCCCAAACATTCCACAATCCCATCAGATGTAGCCACTCACCCATCCCATCTCCCTTTAGGAAGCGACTGGAAAGGAGAAAGGGCAAATGGTCATTTTTTCAGCAACTTCTAAGAAGGGTGCCTAGGGAATAGTCTGAAACTCTCCAAGCCAGGCCAGTGGGTGGGTAATGAGAAGCATGGGGAGGGAGAAATTAGCACCTGCTCCCCCTTTCTCACCCTCCCAGTTCCTGCTGCACCACTCTGACTCTGGGGTCAGCTGCCAGGGCCTAGCTCCACTTTGGAGTCAGATGGCTGGGGCTGAGAAGGGGAAGAGAGAAAGGGAAAGAAACAGGGGATTCGTTTGCACCCCTCTACCTCCTTCCTTCCTGACCTCCAGAAAGTACAGGCATCCAGCCTCAAGCACCACTACTGTCCACTTTCCTTCCTCCCAGCGCCACAAGCGTGACTCTGAACCAAAATCTGACGCCCTGTCCCCCAGTTCTGGAGTCCCAAGTGATACTCTTGGGGGGGGGGGGCAACTAGACTAGGGAGGAAGCCCTCCCTCCCCCTTTGGCACACTCACAGCCCCCAGACTCTAGAGGGCAGAGAGTAGAAGTGCCCCTGCCCCTGTGGGTTTCCCAGGATGTAAATCTTTAGAGGAGCAGAGCCTCCCCTGTTTCCTGCGGAGCCACTGGTCGGTTCAAACCTCACCAGCACACCTTTCTATTTCTCACCTCTCCACCCCTGCCCTGCTCTTGAAATAAATGCTCAGATAAATTGGGTCTGGTGGGGCAAATGCCCTCTCCCCTCCCTACGTTAGTGCTAAACAGTCTCCTTTACCTCTGTATTTTGGGGAGACTAAACTCCATAACACATCGAAAATATCCTAGCCTCTGCTCTACCCTCCAAGGGGGTAAGAGCTCCCTCAGATTCACAACCATTTTCCAACTCGCTTAGCTGGCTGGGCCACACTGATCCGAGAAGGGGTCAGCTAATTTTCTTGGGGGTGGGGCCTCGTTTTGCATCTCAATCAAGAAAGCTGCCTCACTCCTATCCACTCACTCCCCAGCTCCCTTGGAGAATGGTCCCCAGCCCCCCTCCCCCCAACTCTTCCCCCAACAGCCCCTAAAAGCCAGAATCACAACATTCTGCTGCGCCTCTCCCCACCGCCCAGACTCTGGGGGCGGAGCATTCTCAGACTGGACCAGCCCACCCCAAGTAGAGAGCCCTTCTCAGCGGAGCTCGGTTGGAGGGTTCTTTGGCCGGACCCTCAAATGTAGGGAGATGGCGTGTGGACTACGGAAAAACTGGGATTTAATTGAACTTGAAAGGCTGCGTGGAGCTGGGCTACGACAGTGACCGTAGTTTACGCAGCCCTCTCTCCCCTCCTGTGTCCCGCCCCCCCCTTACTATGGGGAAGGAGGGGAGTTGGGGGTGGCGGTTATTCCCCCTCCCATTGGAGGTTAGCATGGCGTGGGAAAGCGCTGGTTCCAGAGGGGAGGAGGCGCAACGCAGACCGCGGCAGATTTTTCTGGCGAGGGGGCCGCGGGGGAGGGGGAGACCCGGGGCTCGGAAGAGGAAGGGTCCGGGCAGAGGACGGCGGAGAGGCGTGAGGAGCCTCGGGATTCCGGGAGCAGCGGCCCGGGGAGAAATGGACGAGGAAGATGGAGGGGGAGGGGAAGGAAGGGCAGCTCCCGCGGGGGGAGGGTCCGACACTG